TAACTGGCTGCCCCTGTTCCTGCTGTCACGGCTGTCCTCTTTGTCGTGTCCTTGTGGCCGTTCCTTAGTACTGTGGCGCCCCCTCGCTGCACTAGCCCGGCTCACTCTACTTCTGTTTGACTGGCATCACTTCCTCCGGGTGACCACAAATGTAAATTCCAGAGGATTGCAATTTCAGAGGGACCCTTCACCCCATGCAGGGAAGTTTGCTTGTCATCAAGGTTTGGAAAACTCTCTGCAAAGGACCAGGTGTTTTGAACTTGCAGTCACATGGTCTGTGTGGGACAAATCAGCTCTGCCATACGCATGCATGCAGCCCTAGCTGCACATGGACAAATAGTGTGGCTGTGTTCCAGTAAAACTTTATTTACGGGCCTCCCCAGTAGTGCAAGGGGTTAAATCTCAGCACTAGGAAGCTATCGCCAGCCACTGCAGCATGAGTTCGATCCCCGGCCAGGGAGCTACCCACAGGGCACAGCAGACCTCTCCTGTCTCACCCAGTGCTCCCCTCAGCAGTGCATTTCAGTCAATCTGCCTGTTGTGTTCCCCACTCTGTCTGTGGTGAGTCCTAGCACCCTTTCCCTGCACCTCTGGCCTGCACCCCAGCTCTCGTAGGCATAAAGTAAATATAATAAATCTTTTTAAAAAAAACTTTATTTACAAAAGCAGGGGGCAGGACTGATTTGGTTTGCCAAGTCCTGCTCCACACTAAGCATTTATCTCTTCCTTGGATCCCTGAGGTGCAGAGCACAACTCAAACTGAATTAAGCAAACCAAACAATAACAAATGTGGAGTGGTGGAGTTACTGGTTCCCATCAGCTTCAAACGCTATGGAAGAGGAACTTCTCTTTCTCAGGAACTCCCTAAAAAACCCAGGAATGACTCTCACGGGCCCCCCTTGTGTCACACGCCTATCCCCAAACCCACGGCAGTAGCCACGGGTGTGGGTCAGGCTGCGACAGGTGGGGCCTGAAGTCAGGACCCACCATCGGCCCACATGTGCTTAACCAAGAAGTGGTGGTGCCCAGAGGACCACGGTTAGCACCAGGAGGGCAAAGCAGAAACCTTGAGCACCAGGTATAAATTTCCACCCAGGGCCTGGCCCAGGGGCAGAGCAGTGCTCCCTCCTTTGCTGCCAGCCTGCCTCCTGGGGCAGCCGCCAGCCAGGCATTGTCAGAGGCCTTTCCTGGCCTGGCATTTAATTCCTCTTATCTGCCTGCCAAGTCATTCTACCCCCGCACCAGCCCCCGTTTGCTCTTCTTTTTGCACCGTCGTCCCAACCTCAAAAGCTTAGTGACTTCTGGCTCCAGCCTTGACATGGGCTGTATTTTTTAATCTGAATTTTAATTCCAGCTCATTCCAGTGCTGGCTGTATCTCCCAGCCCCCACGCCCCAGGCCCCATGCTAATTTGCTTCTCCCACCTCAACTGGTGCCGGAATAACCATTTTAAAAACTGCCTTGGGGAAATCTAATCAAATGAGAGCAAAATCTAATTTGGCACTAAAAGCCTTTGACTGAAGCCCTGTTTTCTAGGCCCTTGTGGAGCCTGAATAATAAACTCTTTCTGGATTTTTTAAGGGTTGGGGGTTGGAGACAGGAGAGCGAGATGAAAGAGGAAATTCTAGCAGAGGAAATAGCTCTGGACATTTTGCCCCCCAGGGCATTGGACAATCGTGGGCAGGGGTGGGCTTCCAAGGGCACCCCCAGGAAATATCTATCCCACCAGCCGAGCCAAGAATTGAATCTCTTTAGCATTCCAAGCTCAAGCTGCCCGTTCATCAGAAAGACCTTGGCCCAGATCTTCAGGGACAAACCAGTAGGATCACAAGCCTGGGACGAGGGAGACCTGGGGAGAACCTGCTTCCCCCACGAGGAATTCAGAGAGACTTTTGCTCTGGGCTTTTTCCATTCATTCTTCTGCTGCTTGAATTATTTGTGGTCTTAGGTTCCTTTCAGAATGTGAATGTTTGGCCCGATTTCCAGGAAAATGCACATGACATGCAAAATCTGGCAAGTAACATTTCAGGGAACGCATGGACCCCTATCTGTTTCCCTGACATGCTTCTGGCAGCTTCTCCTCATTGCAACCTCCAGGACCCTGCAGCTTTGGCCTCTACCCTGTAATGTCATCTTCTCCCTCTGCTGGCCTCCTTGGGTTCCTCAAATGTCCATAAGCTTGTTGCTGCCTCAGGACCTTTGCACTTGCTATTCCTGCTGCCTGAAATGGCTTTTCTTCCACCCCTTATTCCTTCTGAGTCATTCTGATCATTCCTCAAAGAGGCCTCCCCTGACCACTTGACCAGTGGTGCCTTCCATGGTCCTTCTGACATTACCAACAAAACCAACCTTTGTCACAGCCTCCACTAGAATGTCAGCCCCTTGGAGGCTGGGCAGGATCCCTTGGGCAGGATCCCTGTTGGTCTCATTCACTGCTGTGTCTCCGGTGTATAAGACTGCTCCTGGCATACCATAGGTGCTTAATCAATAGCTGTTGAATGGCTATATGAGTCCATCCACGCCTGAGACAGTTTCGGGCACACCATCGTGATTTTTGCCATGCCCGGGCACACCCATTCTGTAATTTACTCAATACATTTCTCTCAGTTGTTTTACTCTTTTTGTTTCAGTTGCTTTTATGTTACCACTGATACTACTGACTGTGATTATGAAGTATTTGGGGTTTATTACTTTGCACCCTCTTCCTCACTGAGGTTCCAAACTAAAGAATCAGCAGATGGAAGCCAGGTTTAAGGACATGGCGTCCTTCTGAGGGTACTTGGGCTTCCAGATGCCAATACCAGAGTTAAGCAGACTTTCAGCTAAGCCAGGTCCACACCTCTCTCCTCCCCACCCCACAAGAGCAATCCCCCTTAAGACTAGCATTTCCTGAGAGAAGCTCAACCCCTAGAGGAAGGATTGGATTACGTATGCCAATTTGTACCTCCAAATTCACCAATCAAATATGCTAGGTGTCAATAGCCCACAGGCCAAATCCGGCCCCCTATCTGTTTTTACAAATAAAGTTTTATTGGCACAAAGCCACACCCATTTGGTTATGTATTGCCTGTGACTGTCATAAAACAGCAAAGCCAAAGAGTTGCAACAGAGACTTTCTAGCCCATAAGGCCTAAAATATTTACTCCCTGGACCCTTACAGGAAAAGCCTGCTGACCCCTGGGTGGTGGCAGTCGCCTGCCAGGCTCCAGGAAAAACCCAGAGAGGGCTCCTGTTCCATCACAGCCCAGCAGACTTTGAGCACCCCTCTGTGGTCCTGGAAGTTTCTAGATGGAGGGCCCATCTTACGCTTTGTTGGCCTCAAAGCCCATTCCTCACTTCCCCTGTCTCTTCTTATCTTGGGCCCTGAACCGACACCCCTGGCCCTCACTATTGACCACTGTCAGTGCTGAGCACATCTCTGCCCACAGGATTTCTTTGAGCCCCTTCAGAGCCTTGAGCGCTCAGCAGCACATCTCCAGTGTTTGTCTAAGACCCCTGGTGTCCTCATCTGGAAGAAGCACAGTCGGGTCTCCGACTCTGTAGAAAAAACTCATTTTTTCCCATTTCTTGAAAATGGCATCATAGATTACAGTTGTCAAAAACCATACCTGCTCATTAGGAAGATACAGAACAAACAGGTATGACAGAGAACATCCTGTCTGTTCCCTCGGCACCCACAGAGCTTTTGGGTGTCTCCCCTTCCTGGTGAATCAGAGTGATTTTTCAAAGTTGCTTTGTCAGTGGTGCAAGACAGAGACACACGCGGCCCTCAGGGTCCCGCTAACGCCAGCCAAACTGCCCACGTCCAGGCAGAAAATAGAACAAGGCCGTCACCCGGAAGCCCCCACGTCCCTCCCACCTGCCTCCTCATGTCCACAGATAACCACCCTTGCTCGTAACACCGCGGAATCATTTTGCTATTTCTGAGCTTCTCTAAGCGGACCCCACAGCATGCATCTGGCCCACACAGTCGGGTCCTTGAGATGTGTCCATAGGGCTGGCCCGGCACCACGTTTCCAGGTGGTATCCCTGGAACACGCAGCACTGTGCTCACCCACCTTCCTGTTGAAGGGTGTGTGATTCGTTCTGGTTACTTGCTGTCGCGAATGGTGCTGCTGTGAGCACATCCTGCCGTGACGCTCAGGAACGTACGTTCATGGTTCTGTCGCATCGCTGCATCAGGGGAGAGCATGCGGCCGAGTCAGCAGAGGCGCCAGTTTCCCACAATGGTCGAACCGTTTGCACCCCCACCTGCTGTGACGAAGTTTCCATCGCTCTGCCTCCCCGTCAACACTTGGCATCATCCGTTTGTACCATTAGCCATTCTGGTTGCTGTGGAGTAGGAAGGATTCAAGGATTCTGTAAACTTGAGTGGGGAAAAAGGGACACTCCTGATGGTACTAACCTGCCAGAAACCCAGCCTTGGCTGAAGACCGCAGCCCATAAGTGTCGGGAGAAGCTGCAGCCTTGTCTGTAGAAATCACACAGGTTTTAATATGTCCCGCTGAGCCCCATGGATACCAGCTGAGAAATGCCCAGTTGGGGTTTTCATTGTGGGGTGACCCTCACAGACTGCAAGGATGCAGACCCGGACGGTGCAGGGTCCCATGCACCCAGGGGGATGTGGGCCCAGCAGTGAGGGTGGCCCGTCCCCCACCAGCACATCCTCGCACAGCCTGGGACTGTGGCCGTCCTCCCTCATCGCTGCTTCCAAGGGCTCCTCTCCCCAAGGTCTTGCTGTTTAAGATCTTAAATTTTTAAAAAATGACACGTACCACGAGGTGGCAGAGTGTCCCCTTATTTTGATGCTGTTTCACCGTAACGGATTCCCTCTAGTCCTGTCATTCGTCTCGTGCCTGTGGCAACACGGGGCCGTAGGCCGCACCCGCTGGCCAGGGCCCGGCGGGGGGTGAGCGCGGGGCACGGGTGGTCTGTAAACGCCTGGGGGCGAGGGGCCAGGCCTAGCCCGCTCCGTCCTCACGCCCCCCCGGCCTCCCCCAGCTTTCTTCGGGAAGTACCTCAACGAATACAACGGCTCCTACGTGCCGCCGGGCTGGAAGGAGTGGGTCGGCCTCCTCAAGAACTCCCGCTTTTACAACTACACGCTGTGTCGGAACGGGGTGAAGGAGAAGCACGGCTTCGACTACTCCAAGGTGAGCCCCCCGCCCTGGCCTGTGTGGGGGTGGCAGGGCTTCAGCTGTGGGGGGGTCCCCCGGCCGGAGTCCTGGGATGGGCCGTGACACTCCCACGCCGGGTCCCGCGCTCCCCACTCTGTCCCCTCCCGAGTCTTACTTTGTGACATTTTGCTGAAGCCAAATATCCCTCCGGAGCGCGCCTGTGGCGTGTCCGCGCCCGCGAGGCTCCACGCACCGAGCAGGCAGGTGTGACAGCACCCAGCGGTCCCCCCCCCCCAAGGCCCCGAGAGCAAGTCCCGCTCACCTCCTCCCGCGGGGAGCCGCGCCCGGGAACCCCTATACGGGCTCCTGTTGCTCCGCACGCACGTGGGGTCTCCCCGCGGGTCCCCGCGGGCGGCGCTGCCTCCCCAGTGTGGGAGCTCAAGTGCCCCGGGCGGCAGGATCTACCCTCCTGGGTCGGTGGCCCCGGACCCCTCCTCGGCCCCCAGGAGCGCTTTGCCCCTGTTCAGATCTGCTGTCGCTGCCCTGGTCGTTCCACCAGCTTTCCTGGCCCCTCGAGGCCACGGGCTACCCCTCCCCGCTGTCCCAGAGCAGCCGCTCGCTCTCCAGTGTCGGTGCCCGCAGCGCCCTCGTAGGAAACCTCTCATGGCTCCCGGAGATGAAGCAGAGAGAGCACCGGCGCTGAGGGCACAGCGGAGCAGGCGGCTCCTCCCGCGTCCTCCCCGGCCCCAGCCAGCGCCCAGGGGTCTGTCCTTCCAGATTTCTTCTCGGTGCGCAGAAGCTGATGCCGTCCGGGGCTTGGCTTCTCTCCCCCCGACCCCCTCTTGCCCACAGGACCCTCCCTGGGTCTGACCCGGCAGCTCGCTCCTTTCCGCGCCCTGCACGACCGTCCACCCGCGACGGCGCCCTGGGGTTGTCAGCGCGGCCTGGCGGAGCGTGACGCTGGGGGGGCGCGTGGCTCTTGTCCCCGCCGCCGCTCACCGCCTGGCGCTTCAGCTTTCTGGAGGCCCCGCGCGGCCGGCCCTGTCCACAGGTGTCCGGGCGCCTGGGTGTCCCCGAGCACGTCCGTAGCTACAGGTGAGCTGGCGGGGTGCGCCAGCCGCGGGGGGCCTTCAGCACAGAAGCGCAGTCGCCCCCACACTTTCCCCTTAGGCAGCATCTCTTTCTGAACGTGATCCCTGTGGACAGAGCCGCTTCCTCGGAAGCAGAGGGGCCGTTTCACAAACTCATTTCCTTCAAGAGCCGTCAGCAGCCCGAGCGCACGGGGTCAAGGAGAGGCGGGCGAATCACAGCTTCCTGGCCACGCTGTCCAAGCGCATTTCTGCCCATCCCTGTCCCTCCCCTCTCCTCCCCTCCTGCGCGGTGTCCGAGCCCGCCGCCCTTCTCTGGAGCTGAGCGCATCACCCCTGCCTCCAGGCCCCTGCCCGTGCTGTCCCCTCCTCCGGGAGCAATTCCTGTACCTCAGTGGTTCTCAAACCTGCACATTGGAACCCCCTGGGAAGCGTCTAAAAGGTCTGATGCCAGAACTAAGCTCCAGACTGATTAAACCAGAACCTCTGGGGTGTGCCCAGGCGTCAGCAAGGCGCCCCGAGGATTCCAGCAGGCTGCTGAGATTCAACCCGCGGTGACAGAGACCTCCTCATGCCCAGATCCTTCTCACCACCACATTGGTCTCAGCACCAATGTCGCCTCCTCAAGGAGGCCCTCCCTGACTGCCCCAGCTCAAGTGTGCGCCCAGGCCAGCTCCCAGCTCCTCTCCAGCCCATCTCATGTTACTTCCTTCCCTTGTCCCCGTCTTGGGTCCTTGTTTGCCTGTGTGTCTGTCCCTGCCCCCAGCCAGGGGCTCTGGGGTTTCCCCAGCACCTTGAAAAGACCTCACTCGGGCTTCCGGAGGCCTGGCTGCCGCGCTGCAGCGCTGTGGGACCCTGGGCAGCTCCCTTCCCGTCGCTGCTTTGAATTCCGTTCTGGAAAACGGGGGCTATCCACATACCTGCGTCCTGGGGTCTTACAAGAATGAAACAAGCCCCTGCAAGAAAACACAGGGCAGCTCCAGGCATCCCTCGGACACTGGAAGCGGGGCTGTTGCTATTTCAGGGTCTGTCGGGAATGAAGGACAAGTCAGCCCCCCACTCTCCTCCCGCCCCTTCCCTGCTCATCCCTCCGCTGCGTGCCTTGCTGTCTCTTGCTTGTGTGCAGTCCCGTCCCTGTGGCCCGCGGCTCTCCGAGGATGGAGACGGCCTGCCTCGGTCACAGCCGGTCCCCCAAGCCCAGCCCGGGGCACAGCTCCTCACAGCGCTTCCTGTCTCTCCTGCCCCCCAGGACTACCTGACGGACCTCATCACCAACGACAGTGTGAGCTTCTTCCGCACGTCCAAGAAGATGTACCCGCACAGGCCCGTCCTTATGGTCATCAGCCACGCCGCCCCCCACGGCCCCGAGGACTCAGCGCCCCAATACTCAGGCCTCTTCCCCAATGCATCGCAGCACATGTAAGCTCCAGCGTCCCGCGGGCAGAGCTGCGGCCGGACGTGAGGGAGGGAGGGTTGAGGGCGCAGTCAGGCACCATCCGTGACGGCGGAGCCCCCAGATTAAAGAGCCCAGGAGCACATCCCCAGGGCAAGCGGGACACGAGTCCAGCCAGCCCGGCTCACTGGGCTAAGCAGGTGACCACAGCTTTTAACTGGGGGCCCAGGTCCTCCCACCATGAAGGTCTGTGGGTCTTGAGTGTTGGCTAGACGGTTCCCTCGGTAACCCTGTGGTTTCGCACACACTTACATTTTGAGAAGGGCCCCTAAGTTCACCAGACGACTGACACTGACCAGCCTGTCCTCTGCGGGGCCCTGTGCTGCACCCAGTACATGGCAGCGAATGCCCAGGGCCTCCCACTGATGCTGGACGTGTTAGTTGTCTGTGGCTGAATAACACGGTGTGGCAGAAATCAGCCGCCGCAGACACCACTGTTACCTCAACAGTGTCTGGGAGGCAAGAATCTGGGCGTAGCCGTGTGGGATGTTCTGGCTCAGGGGCTCCCCAAGGTGGCCCTCAGGGTGTCATCTGGGGCTGCCATCACCCCAGACTTACTGGAACTAGTGTGGCAGCTCCTACCCAGGCCAGCTCACAACAGGGCTGCCTGAGCATCCCCCAGCATGGCCCTCAGCTTCCTCCAGAGCAAGGCGAGAGGAGCTGAGATGGAGCCACGGCCTGTGTGCACCCAGCTTCCAGCCCTGTCAGTCACACAGACTTGCTCCCACAGCATGGGGGGGACTCAAGTGTGAACACCAAGAAGCGGGGGGCGCTGAGGGCAGTTTGGAAGCTGCCTAGCACGCTTGCAGATCCCACTTTACAGATAAGGAAACTGAGGCACAGAGAGGCGAGGTGACTTCCCTGTGGTCACCCAGCTGGTAATGGCAGAGCCAGGATTCAGGTCCAGACCCCCTCAGACCTCCCTTCCCCCCGCCCACCCCTCCCTCCTCCAGCTGCATAATGATCTTTCTGGAAAGTCCTGCTTTCCTCTGCCCCCAGCCACCTCCTGCGTCGCGGTGAGTGCAGCCCTAGCTGTGACATCAGGGTGACAAGGACAGGGGAATGTGGAATCTGCCTGCCTATTTCATCTTCATTATGATCAGAGTGCATTGCCCTCTCCAGCCCCCTGGCTGTAATTACTCTCTGCAGTGCCCGCTGGAAGTGACCGGGGAGGATAAGGCCTGTGTTAACCTTCTGCTCCCTGCTCCTTGGGGAGGAGGACCTCAGTGTCACCCCTGCCCCCCAGGGGGGCAGCATCGCCTCTGTGCAGCTCTTGGCAGGAGAAGCTCAGGGTCAGCTCAGTCCCTCCCAAGGAAGAAGCCATGGGGTGGGGACACACTTTGCTTCTGCAACTTCCCCTTTAAAAGAGCAGCTGGCATCACACACACACACACACACACACACACACACACACACACACACCACCCCCCCACTCCCCCAAATCCCCCCCCACCCGCCCAAGCCCCACCTCCAGCAGCCCTGGAGTTCATGATGAGATTGTTTGACATTGCCTGCTCATTTATTTTCCCTTTGAAATGAAAATTACAGAAATCGAGCATGAGCAACGCCTGCTATTACTTACCCAGAGAACCCCCTTGCCTTATTAGGGGTGTGTTTGGAAGGCTCACTTATCTCTGGGGTATAATCATTTCCAAAACAAAACCAAAAACCAGAAAGTTCTGCAGCTGGGATGTTTAATTATGACAATGGGAGGTGGGAAGACAGAGCCCTCTCTGGCGGGTGGAGGTGGAGTTCCAGATCTTTCCTTCTCATTCCCGTCAATCCTATACCCTGTTCTCGGGGCCTGGGGGTGCTGACAGTGGAAGGGTGTGCTCCCCCCTCGCTCCACCTGCCCAGAGTCCTTCCTCCCCCATCTAGACACGGGCACACAGACACACAGACCCACAAAGAGGCAAGAGGTCCACGCTAACACACAGATAAACACAGATACAGATAGCGTGCCCGCGCGCACACACAAAGGTACAAGTAGATACAGAGACACATGGATGTAGTAGACACACAGAAATGCAGACTTGTGCACACAGACATACAAATTCACATGCATCACACACAGAGTCACACCTGCAGGTGCACACACAGAAATGCATAAGCACGCACACAGACATACACACACCGATACACCTAAGTTGTACACACAGAACATACACAGACACACAAACACACTCAAAAAGTGCATGTCACAACCCCAGAGCTCCCTTTGAAGTGTGGCATCTGATTGTAAGTTCACACGCCTCCCCTTTTTCAAGCCGGGGAGCCAGGCCAGCACTTGACAGCCTTGGGGTGGGGTGGTGCCCGCTGACTGCCTTGGGCCTGTTGTGAACACGCTGGACATCCCAGGATCCTGGAGGAGGGGGGTCCACGGTGGCGTCTAGGGGAGGGGAGGAGGGTTTGCAGTCTGTTCAGCGGCAGCCTTGTCTGTGTGAAGGTGCCACCCGCCCCCCAGGGACTGGCCTTAGCAAGCTGGCAGCGGCCCCAGATGGGGACCCCAAAATCCTTCAAAATCATGGTCCAGACAGTCTCTAAGAGAAGGGGCTTTAGAAATCGTTCCCGGCCTCTGGACAGGCTCATGGGCAGACTCCAGCCTGCAGACCAACAGAGGCAGGGATGGTTGCTCCAGGTTACATCCCAGAACCATCTCCCACCAGCCACGTGGTGGACTTGGGGTCCAGCCTGAGCCCTACAACCCCTTCCCCACTTCCCAGGGGTAGGAGGCACTGAAAGGGGAGCCGGGCTGTCCCTAGAATGTTCTGCATGTAGGCCAGGCCCTCATAGGCCCACAGGAGAGGCAGCTTCTCTCCTCACGGAAGGTCCTCGGGCCTGTGAGATTTAGCAGCAGGGAACCAGCCAGGACTCAGAAGCAAAGTCCAGAAAGGATCCCGGAGGCTGTGACGGCCCCCTCTGCACAGCAGCGGTCTCCGTAGCCGGCCGTGGCGTCCTCCATCCCGTGGGTGTAGTGATACAGCAGAGGCTGCGGAGTCTTCCACCCCACTCACGGGCCTGTTCTGTCCCCCACTCCCCAACGGGCCTTGTCCCCTCCATAGTGCTTTTGAAAAGTCCTTCCTCTTCAAGCAGTGGAAATTCACCCTTTGTTTGCAGCTTCAGGGAAGGTGGTAAGATCCCAGGGGACTCTGGCCCTCCAGGGGGTGAGGGACACCCACGTGTCGTGGAGGTTTACATGGAGCAGGTGGATTTAGGTGGCTGAGGTCCTGGGACCCAGAATGAGCTGAGGTGGCCAGGGGTGCTCATGGTCTGGGGTCGTCCACGCAGCCCTGTTCACTGGACGTCAGGCGGTCCCCATGGGCTGTCCTGCACCAGCTGAGTGTGCAGTCACCCGCTGTGTGAGATGACACCCATGACCTGTGCACGCTGGTGGGACCCCCAGTCACTCTGCTCTCAGATCCCTGCCCCATCTCCGGGCACCGCGTGGCCGTTATTACTGGTATCTGGAAACTTCCAAGGCCACAGCTGAGTTCACCTGTGTGATCTTGCTGCTTGGTCCTCCCGAGGTGGGTCTTGGCCAAAGTTCTGCCCAAGCTCTCGTGGACTTGAGGGTCACTGACCAGCGCCCGTGACCCCACAGCAGTGGCCGGCTGTGTCCGCCCTCTGCAGACAAGGGGACCCCCTCGCTGGGCTTCAGTTTCCTCATTTCTCGTGCAGGATAGACAGGGCGCCCACTACTGGGCTGTTGTAGTAAGTGAGACGCCTGCCCCCAGGTCGCCCCGGGAGCTGGCCCGGGAGAGGCAGGGTCATCACCACTGGTCACTGCAGGGACCCAGCACAAGTCTGGGGCCCTAGGGCTCCCCCACCTACTCAGCGAGACTGTGGGAGGCCCCCAGCTCTCCTGACCTACGTTTCCACATTAGTGGAAGGACCTTGACAAGGACCTTGACGAGGAGGTCAGGCAGCACAGCCTATCCCAGGCGCAGGCCTCGCCTCAGTTTGGCCTCACACGCGTGACTGTTCTGTACTCAGCTTTTGAATCACTTCCCTTCTCTTTAGAGGGGGACATCCTGTATCTGTGCCTTCCCGCGATGGCCGCTCGCCATCGACTGACGGTAACAGAACACAAGTGCAGGGCTGTGGGCTCCTCCTCCGGAAAGGCAGAGGAGCGAATTTGAGGGGTGTTGGAGGACTCCCCCAAGCTGAGGCCTGGGCCGTGATGTGCTGGGCGGCCTGGACTTGCCCGCTTTGCAGCTCCAGCTCCTTCCTACTGTCAGACACACGCACACCCATACCCACACCCGCACCCCCGCATGTGGTGAGGCAGCAGAGCCCCCAGTTCCACCCCACACACCAGATTCCCCCATCTCGCCTGCGGGGGACCTTTCACCCCAGGACGCAGACAATGCAGCAGCTGCTCATCCCAGATGGGCGGCCGGGGGTGCGGGCCCAGGACCGGGGGCCTGAGCCGTGTGCGTGTCCGCCCCCAGCACGCCGAGCTACAACTACGCGCCCAACCCCGACAAGCACTGGATCATGCGCTACACGGGGCCCATGAAGCCCATCCACATGGAGTTCACCAACATGCTGCAGCGGCGGCGCCTGCAGACCCTCCTGTCGGTGGACGACTCCATGGAGACGGTAGGCCCCGCCCCGCTCGAGTCCCTGCCTGCTCCTCCCCCCGCGGTGGGCAGCTGGAGGGGGCGCCGAAGACTGGACACCAAGGCCTGTTCTGACCCGAAGGGAAAGGGCCGTGAGGATCCCAGATAAACCCTCGTGGGCGTGCTGTCTCCCCTGCTCCCGGGGTTCAACCCCACGCGCCCCCGACTGACAGGCCCCAGCCAGTGCTGCTCTGGTTTTCACAGGATTGTGATTTTACCCCCCAAAGAGGCCCCGCAGCCCTTAGCCATCCCCCCCAGGCTCTCCTCGCCGCCCCTTTCCTCTGGGCTGCCGCTCCGTGCCCCTAGGACCTGCCTGTCCGCCCGTTTCAGACACCACGTGGCCGTCGTGACACTTGACGTGACCCCGAGGTCCAGCCACGCGGCGGCGCGTATTAACGGCCCCTTTCTTCTGCAGCTAAATAGTGATCCGTTCATGGATAATTATAGCTCGTAGAATTGATTCATCCGTGGCTACTTGAATTTAAATAAATTAAAATACAAGGCACTGACAACCCAATTCTGCAGCACAGCCGTGGACGCTGCCGCGCGGTGGCGAGTTGTGCTAGCTGGGCCCGCTGTGGCCTCCTCCCTGCCCCTCCCCCTCCCTCTGTGCTGAATGCCAGCGCAGGGGACAGAGTGACACACGCTCTTCCCCGAGGGCACTTTAGATGCCCCAATGCAGGGAGACAGCCCACAGATAGGGGGACAAGGTGGAAGGTGAGACGTGCCGGGAAGGAAAGTAGAGGGGACAGTGGGCAGGTCGTGGCAGAAGGTGGGTAGGTGGCCACGGAGCAGGGGAGAGGGGCCCAGAGACTCGGGCGCCCTGCACCCCAGGACAAGAGCCCAGTAGGCCCCTGGGTACCCATCGCTGTGCCCCCTGTGCCCTCACCCACCGCCTCTTGCAGATCTACAACATGCTGGTGGAGACGGGCGAGCTGGACAACACCTACATCGTGTACACGGCCGACCACGGCTACCACATCGGCCAGTTTGGGCTGGTGAAGGGGAAGTCCATGCCCTACGAGTTCGACATCAGGGTGCCCTTCTATGTGAGGGGCCCCAATGTGGAGGCTGGCTCGCTGTAAGTGCATCACCCCCGCACAGGAACCCCAAGTTCCCAGGGAAGCCCCCCAGGTCCATCGGCAGGCAGATGGGTGAGCAGCCCCGGGCCTCCCCTAGGCAGGGATGTAGCGGGTCAGCCGCCCAGGTGGGATCTGTCGGGAAGGAGGCCGGGAGTCCTCAACTCCTGTGAGGACACTTTGCGGGGCCACCCTGCCAGCCGGTGGGGAGCTGGGCTGCTGCAGGTGCTTCCCCACCGGCCCTCCTTGGGTCTGGTATGGACGGGAGGAAGCCAGGCCCCCTCCCTGCCTCCCTCGGGACCACGTGAGCCACAGCCCTCGGCCGTCCTTAGATGAACCTTTAAGGTGACACGTTCTGGCAGCAAAAAAAGCCAATTCTGGGGCTGGGAGAGGGTAGCGCAGCGGGGGGTCCTCGCAGCTCCTCAGATTCACTGGGCACGACAGAGCACGACTCACGCGGCTTTGTGAATGCAGAGAAATCGCTACTAAGAGGTTTATTGGGTCCGACTTGCGCCTGAGCCTAGACAGATGCAGGATTCCTCCTGAAGGGGCACTGGGGTGGCCTGTGGGGACTGAGGTGGTCCCACCCCTACCTTGGAGGGGCGGCGAACGTTCCAGGAGGCAGGTGCCGTGCGCCCCAGCCCAGCCTCATCGAACCACTTTTCCTGTGACTTCATCGAACAACTCCAGGCCTTAGGAATCTCAGGCCCGCGCCTGGGATAACGGCTGGAATAACAGAATGAACACGGCTGCTGCCTACATTTATGCCCTTTATGTCCAAGTAACTTATTTCAGCAGCCCTGCAGCCCTGTGAGGGAGAAGCTGCTGCTGTTATTCCTGCTGTAGATAGAACTAGTGAAACTGAGACGGGAAGGTGCCTGCACCCCATGTCCCTGTGGGACGGCACTGGAATCCGAAGCCAGGTGGTCTCTGCTCCTGTCAGCCACTCCTCACGGCCTCTCCGAAACCTCGAATCATCCCACAAGCAGAATTTGACCCAGCAAGGGCTTTGCAAGCACAGACCTTGACGTTTGGTTAGCCTTAGAGGCTGTGAAATGGCTCCTAGAACCCCAAAAAACACACTTCATGTACACAAGAGAGAGACTGATGTCAGGCTTGGGGCTGAAGATACAGAATGTGTCAGCCAGGACTTCTTTAGTTGCAAGCAGAAATTAATCTCAAAATGGATAAGGTAAATAAAGGGCACTTGAAAGTCCATGGCTCGCAGGCTTCAGGCATGGCTGGATCCAGCAGTTACACCATGACATGGGGAAGCTCCTGTTTCCCTCTCTCAGTCCTGTTCCTTGAATTGGCTCCATTCTCAAGCAGTCGTCTTCTCTCGTGGTGGCAGACTCTCAGCCATCCAGAGTAGGAAGCCAAATGTAGTTTGAGAGAAGCCCACGTGGCCATCCTTGATTATCACTGTGGCCAAGGGTCAGGGGAAAGCTTGGGTGATCAGATGGTGGGCTCTGAAGGGGCCTGGGTTGTTCCTCCAGAACTAGAAGCTGGTCTGGGTGAGGGATAGGAAAAACAAGCGTGTCCATCCCACCCAGCCTAGGGGAGCAGGGCTGCTGGACAAGGTCAACCAGCTTCTCGCTAAGTTTCTGCCCCCTACAGTCATCTCCAGCTCCCCCCACAGCTCCCAGCTGATGCTGCCGCCCACCCCCCCCCCGTCAAGCCCCTCCCCAGCACTTCTGCCTGCCCATTGTTCACAGGTACTGATCTGGGCAGAGGGAGGACCCCAAAGAGGGTTAAAACCCTAGGACACGAGGGCACTAAGTCACCTGATGGAGGTGTCCATGGGGCCATCCTTTATTCAGCAGGCGCTGGATGTGTCCCTAACTCACCTACCCACCAGGAACACCACCCAGTAGAGGCAGGAGACAGCTGAAAGTGGACAGTAGAGATGAATAACAAAGTGCACTGAGCTAACACTAAGCACCTACTGTGTGCTCTAAGTATAAAAGTCTTGGGGGTACAGATGTGACAAGCCCTTCCACTTAGATTCTAGTGGGCAATAGACAATAAGCCAGAAAAATATGTCGTGAATGGAGGAGCAGGTTAAAGCAGAGCACCCCGGGGCTGAGTGCCCAGTGGGCCCTGGGGAAGGGCTTTGGGCCGCTAATCTGTGCTGCCTGACAGTCACTGCAAACTTAGTTTCTGTGGGTCAAAGCCTGGCCCAGCTCAGCCCTCCACTGGACTGAAATCAAGGTGCCCTCCCCTGAAATCAAGGGCTGTGGCCCCATCTGAGGCTCAACTGGCCAAACCTTCTTCCCCACCCACAGGATTGTCGAGTACAGGAGAGGCTTTGAGCTCACGGAGCCGCCTCTGGGATAGCCACACAGCACCCTACTGGGGGCGGCAGCCAGGGGAGGAAGAGCAGGGGCACGCAGCTCGGAAGGCAGGGTCACATGTCCGTAACAACCACGGGGGACAGGCCTTATTTTATTGGTCGGTCCACCCTTGAAGGGGAGGGGACCATACTTGGGTGTAGACACAAGAGTGGGGCTCACCAGCCTCCTGAGGGGTTGAGAGAGAGTGCCATGCTGGCATCTGGAGGGAGAACATTCCAGGCAGAGGGGACAGCAAAGGATCAGTGTTTGCCCCAGAGGGCAGAGAAGTGTCCTAGGATTTGGGGTGCCCTTAAAGGTAGGTGTGCTTTGGATAATGGGCAGGGAGGGCATTCCTGGCAGAATAAACAGCCAAGCAGAGGCCAGGTACGGCTGGCGAGTCCAGTGTCCTGTGACCTGTCTGGTGGGCACAAAATTTGGGGGTGAAGGAGAGCAGGGCCACTGAATTGGGGCCCCCAGGGTGCAGGAGAGCAGCTTCCCCACCCTCAGGGCATCAACCCCTGGCACCGCCCTCCAGCTACCCCTCTCTCATGGAGTCCCTGGTCTCCCCACCTCCCCAGGAACCCCCACATCGTCCTCAACATCGACCTGGCCCCCACCATCCTGGACATCGCAGGTCTGGACATCCCCTCGGACATGGATGGGAAATCCATCCTCAAGCTGCTGGACACGGAGCGGCCGGTGAATCGGTGAGCAGGGCAGGAGCGGGGCGGATGCTGGGGAGGTGGGATGCCAGGCTCCCAGCCGCCTGAACTTACGGCCAAACCTTGCGGGCCTGAGAGGGGCGGGTCTCCAGGAGGCAGGCGCTGGGGTTACTTGCCTGCGTTAGGACAGAAGGACGTGTCCCCTCAAAGACTGCATCTTCCCATCTGGAATGTCCCCAAGGGGACTGGTGACGACCCTCTTGGAGCTAAAATTACATAAAATTTGAAGTAATAACAGCAGCGCCAGGAGCTGACACTGCCGCGCTGGTGGGGCCGGCACCTGCGCCGAGCGCTTTGCAGAGCTTTCGCCCTCAGGAACGCAGAGGCTGACCTGCTCGTGATCCCCTTTGGCCAGTTGGGAGAGCCAGCCCGAAGGGCCGCGTGACCTGTGGGTGGTCACTGGGCGCTTCCTGGCATTCAGCACTAGCCTGGAGGCTGCACTTGCAAGCAGTCCCCGTGCTTCATGGCTCGAGTGCCCCAGGCGGTGATGGGAACACAGTCCCCGGCGTCCCGGGGGCAAAACTGGAGCAGGTTTGGTGAGCTGGACAGGGAGGGACCGGCCGGCGCCTCTGGCGTGGCTGCAGCGACACCTAGTGGCCACCACTGGAATGACCCTGGTTAGGCCACCCCTGAGGCCCCGTTAGGACCTCCAGTTTGTTACCCGCCCCCCAGCTCAGATGGTCGAGCCCTGGGGCACTGGCTGCCCACATCTGGCTGCACTGCCAGGGAACCACCTCCATGGAGCCCCCTTCCGCCAATTAAGAGGCTTTATGAGCTGGATGAACGGTCACTCCAAGCCCACCAGCTTGGGAGCCAGGACAGCCAAAAGTCTGGGTGCAGCAGGGAAGCCTCCTCTCTCAGCCTGGGCCTGTCTGGGAGGTGGAAATGGTAGCGAGAAGCTGCATGAAAGTCACGCTGCGAAGCATCAAAGGAAAAGAATCCCCCAAACAACACAAGTAACCCAGAGTCCAGACACCCGCTCCTTCTGGTGCTGAGCTAGAGGAAGCATCTCAGCCGAGGAGCGGCGGCTGGACCCGGCTCTGCCCTTGGCTGAGTGGACTCAGCGCGACCTGACCCCGCTCGCCCCGCCTGTGTCTTCACACCCGGGACGCAGCTCTGCCCGGGAGCGTGGGCGCCACGGCCTTTGCAGAGCCCCCTGCACCCCCTCACCCCACCGCCCCCGGGAACTTCGGTGTGTGCTCATTGTCATCCAAAGCGGGCTCTGCGCTCCCTGCCTCTGGGAGAACGGGGGGACATGCGAGAAAATGGGGATGTGCTTTTTTTCTCCCTAGGTTTCACTTGAAAAAGAAGATCAGGGTCTGGCGGGACTCCTTCCTGGTGGAGAGAGGGTAAGGGACGGGGCCGGGGCCTCCCTGGACTCGAGCTGGGCCCAGCAGGCACCCCCAGCTCCCGGCCCCGCCCCTGGCAGTCCCACTCACGCCCCGGGCATGAAAGAGCTCACCTCGAGCAGCGAGGAGAAGGTTGCTCTCATGCTCCTCTGACGGTGGCGGGCAGCGCCCCCACGCCCCCGAGGCCCAGGGAGACCCGTTCTCTGCTCCCCTGGCACCGCCGAGCTGCATCCTACAGCCACGTGGGCCCTTAAGACACGCCCTGTCCTGCCTGCCGGGCGCCTCCACTGGTTGCTTCTCAACTTACTGCCAACTCATGCGACTGTGGGCATAACCATCAGCAGATCCCCCAGGCCGCGTCCTCCACTGGGACACCCCCCAGGGCCGGGTCCCCCTCAGCCAGGCACACGCCCCCCAGAGCTGAGAACAGCCTTTGTCCCTCTCCCTGCCCCACAGAAAGCTGCTGCACAAGAGGGACAGCGACAAGGTGGAGGCCCAGGAGGAGAACTTCCTGCCCAAGCACCAGCGCGTGAAGGACCTGTGCCAGCGCGCCGAGTACCAGACGGCGTGCGAGCAGCTGGGGCAGGTGAGGGCTGCGGCCTGGGCGCCTCCCCAGGGGCTGCTCTCTGGCCATGTCGCCCCCAGGGTGAGGCCGGGGGGTGCAGCAGGCCTCCTGCCTCCCTGGCTCCGGGACGTCTGCCTGAGCCTCGCGGGAGCGCAGCCGCCTGCCCAGCGGCAGTGACCACGCTGGCTTGATGTTCATTTATTCCCTCCACGCGCTCGCTCTGGGGCTGCTTCCCCTCCGGGAGTAACAGGCAATCGCCTTTTTAAAGAAAATTTAAGTCTTTTAAAAAAATGAAGTTGATTTCGCGCGAGAGAGGAAGGAGATAGAGTCCAGGTGCAGGCGAGCGATGACCGGAGCCCCGGCTGGCGCGTGGAAGCGTCTGAACCGAGGCCTGGAAGCCCAAGGGTGCGCGCCAGGACCCGGTGAAAGGGACCACAGGAGGCGAGGCTTGAGGGTGGGCTGGGGGGTGAGGGGAGCACCAGCCTCGTCTCTGGGCTGGGGCCGAGCTCATCCCCAGGGGCCCAGGCCTGGAGATACGCCTGATTCACCGATAAGGCTAAGCGAAAGGCAGGGCCACTGTACCCCCTTCTCAGCTGCAGCCCCGAGGCTCCCAACGTGGGGGCACACCCAGTCGGGGGGCTCATTGGCTGCATCCAAAGCTCCCTGACTCAGAAGTGGTCCCCACCTGTCTTCCTGGCTGTGTGCCCCCCTCCACCCCACGCTTGTCTGTAACCCCCCTGCCCTACCCCCAAGCTGTGGGGGTCGTCTGTACCCCCAGGCGAGAGCTTTGGGTCACACTGCAGCTGCTCTGGGCTCTGCGGTGACAGTCTCGGACCCCTTCGTTAGAAAGCCCGGCCCTTCGGGGCTGATGTGTGCGAGAGCTTGGGTTTGTGTTTATACTGAGGCCCCAAAAGTCTGGAATTCAGTTGAGGCCGGGGGTCTCTGTGCCCCTGGGATGGTAGCCCACCCCCACCCCCGCCCCCGCCCTTCTGCACATCTCTCCCTGGTCCCAGCCTGGGGCTTGGGCAGGGGGCCAGGAACCAGCACTTTCAAAAAAGATGGGGGGAGTGCACCCCTTCACACACAAGACAAGGGCGCTGGGGGACTGGGGTCTAGTCCAGCTGTGCCCCCACTGTGTCCCTGCACCCCCGCTCTGCCGGCAGCACCAGGGCCTCAAGGAACCCCTTCCCGTCCCCGCCCACAGTGGGCCGCCCCCGTGCCTCCCGCAAACGCCCCACCGTGAGCCAGCCCGGGGCTCCCCTGGGCAGGGCGTCCTCCTGGGGCTCCCGCTCAGCCCTCGAGAAACGGTCACCCTCGGCTCCTTTCCCAAGCTCCCGCCATCGGTGGCATCTGCTCGCTGACCACGGTGCCCCAGGACGGCGCTCCCGGGAGCCGGGGTCCCCGTGCAGGCCCCGGGGTGGGGGCGCCTGGGCGGGCGGGCGGGCGCGCCGGGGAGCCGGGCCTGAGCCGAGCGTGTCCGGCAGAAGTGGCAGTGCGTGGAGGACGCCACGGGCGCGCTGAAGCTGCACAAGTGCAAGGGCCCCGCGCGGCCGGGCGGCAGGGCCCTCTCCAACCTGGTGCCCAAGTACTACCGGCCGGGCGGCGAGGCCTGCGCCTGCCCCGGGGACGACAAGCTCAGCCTGGCCGGGCGCCGCAAGAAGATCTTCAAAAAGAGTAAGTGGCGGGGCTGGGGAGCAGGGGGTGCGGCGGACCCCACCCCCCCGCCGGCCACCTGTTCCGGGGTGGAGGGCCACCGGGCAGGGAGCGGGGGTGGGGGGGGGCGCGGGGCCTCGGGCCTTGGCAAGGCTCACGCCAGACCAGGAGCTGGAAGCCTGTCCCGGGCCGCCCCTGGACCGCGCCTGCTCCTTCCCGGTTCACGGCGACGTTTTGATTCGATGTTTTCACATCCACCTTCCTTTTCCCATTTTCCATCATTGCTGTGTTCGCCCGTCCCACGCCCCCCGAGAGAATGCCACTCAGAGGCGCTTCCAGTTCTAGCCCTAAAACACCTTCCTCGCCCCAAAAGTCACCCCCATGCCCAGGAGGCAGTCACGGCCCGCGCCCTCCATTGGCCGCTTCACATAAACGGAATCGCTGCGGCCTTGGGGTCTGGCTGCTCTCACACATCGGGCTTCTGACCTTCCCCTGTGCACCCCTTAACACACAGGACAAGAGCACGGGGGGTTGGGGTCTAGTCCAGCTGTGCCCCCACTATGTCCCTGCGCCCCGGCTCTGCCGGCAGCTCCAGGGCCTCAAGGAACCCCTTCCCGTCCCCGCCGACCAGGCCGCTGGCGCGGCGCCCTGCAGCTCGTCTCTCCGTGTGTGGCTCTTTCTTGCATGATCCCGAGCCAGTTCCTAAGCGAATCTCCTTGAGGTCCTGCCCCCGGGGTACACCTCATGCGCCCCCGAGTCTCGGGCAGCTCGCGTCTCTGGGCGGCGTCTGCGGCCCGGTGCGCCGGGCCAGCCCTTCCCGCCTCCTCACCCCGCCGCCCCCGACGCCAGAGTACAAGGCCAGCTACGCCCGCCATCGCGCCGTCCGCTCCGTGGCCATCGAGGTGGGCGGCGAGGTGCACCGCATCAGCCTGGACGCCGCCTTCCAGCTTCGCAACCTCAGCAAGCGGCACTGGCCGGGGCGCCCCGAGGACCAAGACGACAAGGACGGAGGGGACTTCAGTGGCACCGGGGGCCTTCCGGACTACTCAGCCCCCAACCCCATTAAAGTGACACATCGGTGAGAAGTCCAGGCGGAGGTCGGGTGTGGAGGGGCCCCCGCGCTTCTCAGGCCCCTGGCTGGTGTCCCCTCAGGGCGACATGTGGTCCCTTTCTCGAGCAGGTGCTACATCCTAGAGAACGACACGGTCCAGTGTGACCTGGACCTGTACAGGTCCCTGCAGGCCTGGAAGGACCACAAGCTGCACATCGACCACGAGGTGGGGTCTGGCAGGGAGCAGGTTCTGCCAGGGGGCACCCGACACAGCGGGAGGGTGACGAGGCCCAGACCCTCCACTGGGGACAGGGCCTCAGTACCGGGTCAGGCGGCTTCCTCGATGCCAGAGGGAGGGCAGCAGTCGCCTCAAGCCATGCTTAGTCCTCCCAATGGCCCGGGGGAGACAGGGGCGTCCCCAGGGGCTGGCCTGGCTCTGGGGCGGGACAGGACAGGACGAGAATAGCTCGGGTTCTTTCACTGAAGCCCGGTGACTTCAGCAGGGGCCCCCCTCAGCACCCACAGATGCAGGCGCTAGCCCGAGGCCCCCAGGGACACAGGCTGCTGCTGCCGCTGAGCAAGAAGCAGGGCTGGGGGCGCAGGGGTCACTACCAGGCCCGGCCCCAGAGTTTCCAAGTCTCCTCCTCTTCCCCTCCCCTCAGATTGAAACTCTGCAGAACAAGATTAAGAACCTGAGAGAAGTTCGAGGTCACCTGAAGAAAAAGCGACCAGAAGAATGTGATTGCCACAAAATCAGGTGAGGGGCAACAGGGCGCCCAAGGAGGCCCCGTGCTCCTGCAGGACCTCTCCAGGGGACACAGCACCCCGTCTCCTCCCTCAGGGTGAGGGTACAGAGGTATCGGTAATAACTCACATGCGGCGCCAGCCCCGGCCACACCACCCCCTCAGTGAGTGGGGTGCTCGGCACGTGGACCTGGTGCCCAGGAGGGAGACGCATCGTCTTCAGGAATTGCCCAAGGCCTGAGGCCTCCATCACCAGCGCAGGGAAACCCTGGCCCGGGGGTCTGCCCTCAGGAGCAGCCCTGTCCAAGGAGCCCCCGCTGGTTGTACCTGTGCTGCCCAGCAGGGCACCACCACAGTGGCTGCAGAGCCCTCGAAGCACAGCCGGCATGAATGAAGAGTAATTGTGATCACTGACTGCATTGAATAATCAGTCCTAGTATTCAAGATGAACCCTCCCCAGGAGGCTGCCGGGTACCGGACCGGACAGCACAGCTGTAGAGTCTGCCACCTTCCCCGAAAGGGCATGAGAAATGGGGGTTCTCGCTGCTGGCCCTGAGTCAGCATGCAGTGGCAGGACCTCGGGAGCAGCCTGGAGTGGGTGAGGCTGAGGGGGGCCAGGCCCAGCCTCCAGTCTTCAAGACTGACTTGGCCTGGGACCCACTGTCTGGCCTGAGGCTTCAACCGGGGTCTCCCAGCGCCCCCTTGCAGCGGAGCCAGCAGGAGGCTGCTGCCGGGGGTGGTGCCCTCCCCAGCACGGCCCCAGAGGCAGGCTGGCTCCCACAAGGTCGCCCTGAGACCGGGGTCGGGGTCTGTTGCAGCTACCACACCCAGCACAAAGGCCGCCTCAAGCACAAGGGCTCCAGCCTGCACCCTTTCAGGTGAGAGCCGGGGGCAGCCCAGGGAGACGGGGAGGCCCCCGGGAGGAGCTGCCCTGACTCGGGCCAACACAGAAAGGAAAGGAGGCCTTTCCCTGGGAAGTCGGGGGCAGCCCTGACGCGGTCTGACCCCCAGGTCCGCCGTGAGCGGTCTCCAAAGCCGGCCTGTGGCCGGAGGGGCCGTGTGGGCCAGGGCCGGGCGGGCCTCGCGCAGCCTCCGAGCAGGGGCCGTGGGCAAGCACCTTCCCTCGCAGAGGCCCCGCTGCGGTGCCCGCGGCCCGTTGGGCAGGAGGAGCGGAGGTTTAGGGTCATCCATCACTAGGAGGCCCGGGTGGGGACCCGAGGGAGGTGTGAGGGGTGTGCCCCGTGTGCCCTAGGAAGGGGCTGCAGGAGAAGGACAAGGTGTGGCTGCTGCGGGAGCAGAAGCGCAAGAAGAAGCTGCGCAAGCTGCTCAAGCGCCTGCAGAACAACGACACGTGCAGCATGCCCGGCCTCACGTGCTTCACCCACGACAACCAGCACTGGCAGACGGCGCCGCTCTGGACTCGTGAGTGTCCTTCAGGCCTCGGTGCCCCTGACAGGAATGGGGGCCTGGGTGAGCCCGGACAAGAGACCCCATGGGCGGCGCGCTCAGGGCTCTCCCCCCTGCCCCCCTGCAGTGGGGCCCTTCTGTGCCTGCACCAGCGCCAACAACAACACGTACTGGTGCATGAGGACCATCAACGAGACCCACAACTTCCTCTTCTGTGAATTTGCAACCGGCTTCCTGGAGTACTTCGATCTCAACACAGACCCCTACCAGGTAAGGAGGACCCGCCGGTGAAGCCCAGACTCGAGGTAGCAGGTGCCCCCAGGGAGAGTAGCGCGTTCCCGGTGTGTCATCCGAAGCCAGGAGGGCAACGGCTCTGGATGCCTGGCTGCTTCCTCTCTGCCTCCCTCGTCTGAAAGCCAGCTCTTGAGCAGGCTTCATAGGAACTTGGGGAGAGGGAGAACTGTAGGTTCAGGGCTCCCGTGGTCGGGCAGCGCACGGGTAACAGGCAAGGCGACACCTGCCCAGCTCTTTCCTCACTGCTTCCGCATGTTAACTCTCCTGCACACGCACATCACCTACGACGAAAGGAGCCAGTCTCTGGCGGCCGGGACGTGAGTCCCTCTGCATGCAGCCGGTCACCACGCCCGGTGTCGGAGCCTCGGCTGCTCAGTAGGGCAGCTCCGGGACAGCCCAGAACCCGGGGTTCCAAGGAAATCCTGATGGTTTTTCCCTGAACTCTGATTTTTAAATGCCAGCAACTCCACTGCTTTGTTTTAATCACCACACGCTGCCGGTCTTTCTCCTTAAGTAGGGGGTGGCCAAGGGGGATGTGGGTCAGTGGGTCACGGGCGGCTCCTGATAGGAGAGGACCCAGGTCGCTTGCCATCCCTCCCACCCCCCGCACCACACGGCTGCTTCCCTTTGAGAAGAACCAGGCAGGTACAAGCGAAGGTGCTAGAAACGGGGCTGGGAAGAGCTGCTTCCTTCCGAGGCCTGGTCATTCCCCGGTGGCGCCCCCAGGAGCCCCGCTGAAGCACACAGGCGATCTTTCATGAGCTTTCTCAGGGGAGTGGAGCTGGTGGGCCTGGGAGCAAAAGGGTGGCCTCAGAGATTCCAAATTCAGGCCTTTGCCAGAGGCTGGCATGAGCAGGCCACCGTCCTCTGGCACTTTCTACCCCCAATTCGCCTGAGATTAGCCCCTGGTTGGTAGAAGAGGCTGGGGAGGGGGCCCTACACACAGCTGCCGACAGCCTCCTTCCCCAACCAGCTGATGAACGCCGTGAACACGCTGGACAGGGACGTGCTGAATCAGCTGCACGTACAGCTCATGGAGCTGAGGAGCTGCAAGGGCTACAAGCAGTGCAACCCCCGGACTCGGAACGTGGACCTGGGTGAGTAGGTGCCCCAATACAGGGCCTGCCGAAAGCGGGGTCACCACAGGAAGTCATGTCTAGTCTGAAGTGTGAACCTGGAATCTCCAGGAGCCCGGGGTGGGATGGCTGAAGACCAATCACTGGGTTGGGTCTGGAGGCCCCATCCAGGCAGTTGGCTTTCCATGGGCTGTGGTTCCTCAGAAAGGCCTCTGAGCCATGGGCAGAAAACACATGGAATTCTTTCACATTTTTCCCTTTTGTTCATTTATTCATTCAACAAACATTTGTTGCGAACTTAAACTTGGAACCCTACCAGAAGGTGCACGTACTGCCTGACCACGTGAGAGGCAAACACTAGTAGGGACAGGTCTCTTGCTTGTGTGGAGTGAGCAAAACAGGATGTGATAGTGTGACAATGGGAGGGGGTCAGGGGTAGCTCCCTCCGGGAAGTGACCTTTGAACTGAGTCGTGACAAAGCAGCAGGAGTCAACCAGAGAGAAAAGTGGGGGGCTAGCCTTAAGAGATTTGAAGTGGAGACTCTGAGGCCTGTTGAAGTTGCAGAAAGGCTGCAGCCAGAGCCAGGAGGGTGGTGGCAGGGCCTGGTGGCGGCAGGGAGGCCGGGGAAAGGGCTCGAATTCATAGTACTATCAGGCAGTCAGATGCAGGGTTTCGGCCAGGGAGTGAGATGCGACACTTGCCGAAGGGGACCGTGATGGGGAGTCGGGAAAATAATACTTACCGGGGAGACCTGGCGGGGGGCTGGACTCTGGTGGTAGCAGTGAGAACAGAGCAGATGCTTCTCTCGGTGGGGAAGCCCACAGAACGCGGTGACGAGGGAGGGGTCAGAAGTGAGGGGTCCGCCAACTCGCGGGCTTTATGTGGCGTAGGCGACATCGGAGACTCCGCTGAAGTTCAGGATGCCAATCAGATACGAAGATGGTTTTTAAAAGCTAAAGGAAGCTATTTACTAGCCACAAAACACGCACAGGGAGCAGCCCTCCAGCCTGCGGAGGGCCTTGAGGAGCGCTGGTCTGTATCTCGGGCCCCTAGAGCTCCTCTCGGGAAGAGGCCAGCAGCCTAGAAGAATCGCGATGCTGTCGTCAGCTGGTTACAAACGGGCCAGCGCTTATGCGCCCACGGACCCCGTGGCAGAGAAACGCAGCTGGAAAGGGGGGCTCATCATCACAGCTCTCACCAGGGCCCCCCCACCGTGGCCATGGGGGGACTGCAGTCCTGAGTGCATCAGGCGTTCATGGGTGCACACCAGCCTGACCCTCCCGGTGCCAACCCTGGGGGAATCAAGTCCTTGTTTTGTGAGTGAGGAGCGCGAGCAGGCGGGCCGGTTCCAAAGCCTGCGCGCTTGGTCTCACTGCCGTGGCCTCTAGGAAACCTGCCGGGCGTATGCGTCCAGAAGTGGGCTCTCCCTTCTGCCCTGCTTTTCCCAGGGCCCCAGCCTGCTGCTGCTTAGGGGTTCATGCCCATTCGTGCCTCCCCCACAAGGCCAATGCTGAAAGACCAAATCAGGTCCTGAAGCTGGTCAGGCGAGCCCAGATTGCAGACAAGGTACAAGGCTTGCTGTGGGTGCTAGGAAAAGCTCACCTCATATGCCACCATCAACCAGGGTTTCCGATAAAAAGCTTAACGTATCTTTAAAAAAGGCAAATGGGAAGGCGGAAAGTTTGTCATGTGCCATTTTGTCCTAAATCACATTCTATTTTGTTCATCTCTCTCGTTTAGGACTTAAAGATGGAGGAAGCTATGAGCAATACAGGTACCAGTTTCGTTTTTAAAGCCTGAGGCAGGCCCCACATCTCGGCCCACCTAGTCTAAACTCTGAGGCTGCAGGTGTTCCAGGGAGACCCAGCCCTTATTCGGCTCTGCCAGGGGCTCGCTCCCCCAAGAGTCCTCCTTTGTGTAGCTCTTTGGGGGTGACTTACTTCTCTCTTGGTGATGGTTAACACTCATTCTCCTTTTGACACCTGAAAACTTAGGCAGTTTCAGCGTCGAAAGTGGCCAGAAGTGAAGAGACCTTCTTCCAAATCACTGTGAGTTGAGGAGCCAGCTTAGAAGTGTAGACCTGGCTCCTGCTTGCTTGTCTTGCCAGGCTGTTCTGTGTGCGTGCGGGTTCCTAGCATGTCGCGTGCTCCACTAACCCAGAGGAAGCCTGTCCCATAACATGTTTAGACCAATGCCTTGTCTAACACTGTTCTGAGACAGTAACCGGTGCTCAGTAAACTCCAGGTGTTCCTTGGAGGTGGAGCAGCGTTTAGATCCATAAAGGCTGTGGCGCGTGCGCGCTCCTCGGTTCAGAGTGGAGCAGGTTGGCCAGCCTCACTCGCGGGTATCGAAAACATCCAAGCTGCTCTCCAGCGGCCAGGGTAGGGGGGTGGCGGTGGAGGTGGCGCTCCAGTCTAAGAGAACCGCACAAATGGGGCTGCAGTTTGTCTAGTTGAATCCTCTAAATCATCAAATCATTGGAAAAGCAAAACCCGGAGTTAGGCTTAAACAGTGGCAACTAATCTGCCGCTAATTGCCAGGCAAGCGGACCTCATCCGTGAGCTGCCATCTGCAATCGCTGGTCTACCATTTCTTTCTTCATGCGCCTATAAACCCGTGTGGCTTTAACAGGACAATAACCCAGCTAAGTGTTTCTCTGGTGCTCCCTGAGTGAAGGCACATGATCTTTAAATGCCAGTTAACTGGGCATGTTAAGCAAAGAACTGACAATCCAGCTCTTAGGCGGTAACAAGCCCTTCCCCGGTGACCTAGAAGTATTCTAAGCAGCATGGCAAACACTGAGATGAGTCTGCTTTGTTCTACAGGGGACAGCTGTGGGAAGGCTGGGAAGGTTAGGAAGCACGAGGCGGCCCTCCAAACACAGACATCGTCTGAGCGTACAGGCAGTGAGACGCTGCGGATAATTCCATCAAGCAGGCCTACACGTTAGCCAGGAGGTCTGAGAGACAGCTCGCTTTCAGTCAACATGGCAGATCTGGAAGAGAACCATCAGGAGTGGTGCATACTTCCACAAGTTCATTTTTGCCCCTGCTTTTGCTTTGGATTATACTTCACCAGCTGCACAAAAGGCATCTTCATACCCAAGTCGCCACTAACCCTCTCAACAAGGGAAAAACAAAATTTTTCTTGGAAATCTCCCCCAAAGGGTGAAAGTCACTGGAATTTTTTTTTTTTTTTTTTTTTTAAATCATAGGGGAAAAACAACCCCGTTTTAAATCCTTGTAATTTCTGGTTCATCACAAAGAACTAAGCAGCAGGACAGAGGCAACTTACCGATGCCGGATCCAGCGCAGACTCAGCAGTGAGTCCGGAGCACAGAGGCAACCTCTCTCTAGCTGTGCGCTCCTGGTTGCCTCTGAAGAAACTGACTTCACTGTATATATGTGACTATTTACATGTAACCAGCGTGGGAACTTTTAGGGGAATCTGACTAATAAGAAAACCCAGTTTTCAAGCGTGGTGGTGTCAATAAATGCTCAGTGGCCAGTGTAAAAGAAAACTCCTTGCAGTTGTGGCCATTTCTATTCCTGCCCGGCTATCACCTCCCCAGTATTCATTCCTTTGTTACCTGTTCCAGACCTGATGTTTTTTAAAGTACTGAAAAGAAATGATGTATGTCCCAAGTTTTAACAAAATTGTATTTGTAAAGAAATTTTGTAGTCTATTGTCATACAATGTTCAAAACCGCAGCCAATGGCCAGCAGTTGGTATGAGGTAAATTGACATTTTGTAAAAGGCCATTCTTGGGAGTCTTTTGGTGTGTTTGGTTTTTTTTTTTTTTTTTAAGGCTACCAGTGAATACCTTCTTGGAAGCAGATGCCTTGGGTTTAGAGGGCTTTTTAAAGGGGACTAGATATGGGCTGTAAATTAATGATTAAAATTTACCACACTTCAGGGGCCTCACAGGTAAGTCTCTCAGTCCACTGTATCAAGAATTTCACTTTTTTGAGGAGTATTAATCAACTGCACAGCAATTCACCTCAACCAAGACAAGCCTTCGTTGGGCCAGGTGGTCTAACCTTGTAAAGACGGCCGTCAGAATTCCAGAATGGAAGAAGCAGGAGTCATCGCCCCAATAACAAATCCGGAGGCGACCCCAAGCACTCCTTTTTGAGTAAGTTCCGCGCTTTCAACGCCCCAAAGCCGCCTCATGTAAGTCTGCTTTTAACCTCACCGAAACTGCTATCAACATTTGATACAGACTTGCTTATTAACCTTTTCTTTCACCCTTAGTCTAGTAGGGAATTATATTTTAAAAAGAAAAAGGCAAGCTCTTAAGCTTCAATTTTAAATAGAAACCTTTATTTACAATGACATCCAAAAGCGATCAGCGAAGCAGTCATAGCTTACACCCAACCATCTCATAAGTTATCCCACCTGATTTGGATTCTTTGCATTGTAAAGAATGATTTAGATTTTAAGCAACATTTAATGTAAACTTGATTGAAACTGAATTCATTCTCAATACTGTAAGTCAATTCCTGAGAATTTAAATATTGCTCTCAGAATGACATTTTCATTCACTTCGAAATTCTACACACTAGAAAGAAAACACCCTGCTCGTTATTAAACATCTGCCTTTAGCTGAACAGCAGCTCTTATTCCTCTGCAGCAGGGGGAACTCACCTATCTTAGAGGTTTCACGCCTATGAATTTCCCACTTGTCAACATAACTCATGGCTTCTGCAAATAAAAAGGGAACTGGACAGGCATCTGGGGAACTGGCAGTTCTGTCTACTCCCCAGCTGCACCTATTTCTGGATCAAAACTTCTAGGACAGCAAGTCAATTATGTTCTATAATATCCTACCCCTATACACCCCAACTCACCTTAGACATTAAATAATGATTAAGCAGTCCTGGATTGATATTTACACCATTCCATCACGATGCACAATTTAGAAAAGTGGCATCATAATATGAACATTAACAATGAATTCCTATTATTTCAAAGGAAGAAACATGTATCTCCTTTATATCATTTTGATCTTTATAAAATATATATTTATATTTATATATCTTTGGATTCAGCAAAAAAGTAGGTACTGGAAATATCTCACATTCTAAAAGCAGATGCAAAGATTAGTTTACCCAACAGATACCAAGGTTTAAAAAAGTGGTGGGAGGTGACGAGAGGTAGGCAGCAGGAGTACAAAGAGAATTATCCGAAAAAGATAAAAGGGCAAAAAGATAAAAACAAATTATCTCAAGACTGCGTCTATTAAAAGAAAATCAAAACCTTAAGTTTGCACCAATAAAATGAAAAAGTAGAAAATATAAAAACATAATCACTTCACTTTTCTTCCATATAAAAAGGGAGTGCTGCCTTTCAGGTAGCCTGGAGTCAGGACTGAGGAAAAGAATCATAAAACTTTGTTTTGTTTTTAATTTTTTTAAAGGAAAGGTAAGAAGAGCACCACTCTACTCCTCCCCACACACCACTTACAGGGAAGTCCAGCTCCACACTGCCACCACAGAGCCTCCGAAGACACTGACTCGGCCATGCGTCTCCAGACAGCAGAGTGTGTTGTCTGCAAAGTGCAGGCCACTGTGATGGAAGTTTACGGATATACAATCTAAGGTTTACTTTTAACAAGTGGGGTGTGGGGAGGCTGGTGTCGAACTCGCATCTACTCAAGTGGTAGTTCTGCAAATACCGGATCTCACTTATAAGAAAGTCAGAAATTAAATGATCTTACCTTCAGAAACACCTTGAAAGACTGGCTAAATGTGTGAAATTAAAAATTTAAAAAAATTAACTGGCTCTAAGTTATTGCTAGAAAATGACACCAAGGCTAGCCAGAAACATGCGAAAAGTCATATGTATTCCCAAAACCCAATTTCATTCAACTGTTGGAAACCGGTAAGTAAATCAAATAAAAGGAGTGAAACTCAGTATTTCTCCCTATTCTCAACTTCATGGGACCAGCATCAAGGAGTAGCAACAGCAGAACAGGCAGAGGGCTGGAGAGGGGGCACGCACAGGCACTCAGCTCTGAACTAGGACAACTTGGCTGTTGTGGGGGGCAAGTGCCCTAAGAAATAACCACGACACTATTCTAATTCTCAGGGATGGAGAAAGGATCACATCAGTGGAATGACAAGACAGTTGAGCCAACACAGAAACCACACATCAAGGATTCTTCTCCTGAGATCTCAATGTGGGATTCTGGTCTAGCAACCAAAACCTTAGAGCACACCTGAAGTGGATGAAGAGAAAGCATATGCAAATTTCTTTTTAATACCATGAGTTGCTACTGTTTAATTTATGGACTGCTTAAAATCCCAAGGTTCTTTTTTAAATCAAACTGCTTGATTTTCAAATTCTTGATAGCTATTTTTAAAAGTTTTCCCCCGTATCTATTTTTCCCCCCAAATTAACAAAGTGCTTAGTTCTGGCAGAGGAATTTTTTTAAAAAAATTAAAATGCCTACATCTAAACAAACAATTTCTTCAAAAAGCTTTGAGACGAGATTGAAAAGAGCGAGGCATCTAGGGTGGGGGAGGGAGAGCTGTGGACCACTGCCCCTCCGCCAGGCCACAAAATTCAGGTGACATCTCTGCCGTTTGTAGCCTCGCCACATTGAGCTCATTGAAATCAACAATGTTAAATATTTAGCTTCACAAACTCTGTAAAAATGAGTTATGACCTACAAAAAAAAAAAAAGTATGTACATATTTTACATAATATCTTAAAGGTCATATTTACAAAAGAAAATCTATTCACAGAAACACTTCGAGATTCTGATTCAGAATGCAGTACCTGGCCTTGGTTTTCTGCAGTTTATTTTCCAAAAGCATTATTGCTCTACCATATAGGCAAAGGGTGACACTGGTACTTTCAACAAGAAGAAGAAAAAAATCACAGTTCTTGTCCAACAGATTAGTTCAGACAAAAACCAGGAATGTGGTTCATCATTCCTCAAGACCTCGATAATATTGCATTTATCCATTACTTTTTAAATAAAGTGCACTCAGCTGCACATTAGCATGTGAAAAATTGCTACTGCTGCAATTAAATACTGTCATTGCATTTTCCTTTCTGCAAAGCCATTTGACATCAAGGACAATTCCTGGAGGTGAAGTATAACAGTACATTTGGAGCAGATGGAAACACTAGTGAGGAAACCACCTAGGACAACCAACAGCAGTGACAGCAGCGCCACACTATCACTGAAGGACAAGAACTCAGAAACATCCATCCCACAGGACAGAGGTCAACACAGAACTACTTGGTGGTGACTAAACACATGAAGGCTGGGACTGTGCTCTTTGCCGAACACTTCAGCTAGAGAAACCAGGTGTTCTAGTCTCCCTTGATAGCCCGTGTCCTCTGACCCACCTGCACTGATATGAAAGACTGGACAGCCAGGAAGAAAGAAGTGACAGTTTTGTGATCAGTAACGCTGTTACCTCCAGAATCACAGCCCTAAGAGGCAGAAGGCCAAAATTATTTGAACACCGTGGTACACATACACAGGAGGGAAGGGGGAAAAAACAAAACAGGTAGATATTGCGCTTCAGCTTAAAATCCAGTCCTGCTCAAATGACGTCACTTGGAATACCCTGATGGGAGATCAAAGCCGGTCCTTTCTTCAAAGCCCACACATCTGAAACAATGACTTCCCAGTAATCCTTGTGCAGTGTCACCTGTGCAATGATTTCCTTGGAGTTTCTGGTGTAGATATGTCAGCAGTATTTCTGTGAATGAACAGAAGAAACAGGAATTAAGGTACATGCTGTGCACAGCTCAGAGCAGCCCACAGCTAAGCCCGCGCTGGTGGCGTGGCTCTGGCTGACCAGTCAGGGACTGACAGTACTCCCCACCCAAGCTTTTTCAGTGACTATTTGTATGTTATACATCCAAGCTTAAAATCTACCTACGTTCTACCTAAGGCTTTGTTTCTCTTCAGAAAACATGAAAAAAAAAATCTGACAAAGGCAAAGAACAGTCCCATCTCGCCCCGTACCTGGTCAGGACCCATGGGCATCCCCGACATGGGCATGGAGTTCATGGTCATCTGCCCCATGGGGCCACCGGCGCCATTCATGTGGACCATACTATACGCAGCAGGGCTCCCCTGGTGGGTAAACTGCTGCTGGGGAAAGGAGCTGTAAAGAAAACATGAGATTACCTCCCAGGTCACTGCAGTAACACAGGACACACGCACAGACAACAGCACGACTCTGTCAAATGCTCTTCATCAAAGAACAACATCACAGAGAAGACTCCCCAACAACCTGCCTTCTAATCTCACAGATGTCGTCTCAGCACCCTTAGGTACACACACAGTAAGAAAGATTATCAAGGTGGAACAAGCCGAGGACATTTTCTAATACAAATCCATTTGCTCTCCAGTCAGGACAGGCTTAACTAAAAAAAACATGAATTCCCCAAACTTTTGGCACTAGAATACGAATAACTTTTTAAAAGTCCCCGTTCTTTACCTGTTCCTGGCCAGGTTCCCTGATGGCCAGCCCTTCATTTCTGAGGACTGATACATGGGCGTGGCCTGAGGGTGCTGCATCATGGGATTCTGCGAGGGGCCCATTCTTGATGACATCATTGTATTGGGGGGACTAGACACTCGACCAAAGGCTGGATCTGGTGGTTGTCCCATCCCTTTAAAAAAGAAAAAGAAATTACAGTGCTCAAATGCTTCTTAAAACATCAGCTTTCCACAATAATTTTATATTCATTTTTAGGAGGGTAAGGTGAGTGCTAAGTATAAGATATAAAGTTTTACTGGAAGATGTTACCTTCCAGTTATTTTTGCTTTTCATCAAGATGACAATTAGAGTAGGGGATTGACTGCAGAAGGTTAGTTACTTGAAAGGAAGTTACTTCCGTGGGTTTTCTGTATGAAAAGGACTCCATTTCACACCATTCACTTCACTCCATCCCTCTTGAGAGAACAGATGAGCTACTGGCCTGTCTGGCAACAATGCACCCTAAAACAATCTCCCAAGTGGATGCCTATAGTCTCCCATGTTCTGGAACCTCTCAGTGACTGACTTGAAAAGATACATTATTGTACATGCTGTTATGAAAATATGTCCAGGTCACCAAGAAAAAGAACTCCAGAGCCCACACAATGCATTCCTCTCGCTTACTTGCCCAAGCATTCAGAGAACACAGAGTTCTATACTAGGCCATAATTAGGGGGAAGAGCCTTGCCGTCTTTCTTCCAAATTATGGTATGAAGAGCTAAAAAATACACTCGACTAAGTCAGGTAGAACTACAATTATAACTACTTGTGTGCTGCAGTAAAGAGTTTTGTTATTTTCATTAATTTCACTTTTCTTGTGAAATAAGAAGTGAACAGTATTTTTGGTTGTTTTTACTATTCAATAGATAGGGTGACTCTTACATCTCCTCAGAAGCTTACTTTGGCAAAGACCTTTTCACTGTCAAATTTACCATAATTTGGCGGGTATGGAAACTGCTGGGGTGGAGCTTGCGGCATGGCAGGTCCTGCCAAAACCCCGTCCATGCTGGGGGAAGCAGTCACATTGGGGGGTGGGCTGAAGGCCTGAGTTTGTTGTTGCTGCTGTTGCTGCTGCTGCTGCTGCTGCTGCTGCTGCTGCTGCTGCTGCTGTTGCATCATCATGGCCACTCTCTGCTGTCGGAAGTGGTGACTGAGGAGCTCTCTGCTGCGCTGGGCAACCATCTGGGCGTTAAGAAAACCCTGCTAATAGCCGAGAGAACACGTAATGACACATAGTGAGAAACAGTCAATTTCATATATATGTGTGTGTGTATGTGTGTGTGGATATATATGTGTGTGTGTGTGTGTGTGTGTGTATGTATATGTGTGTGTGTGTAGCATATGCCACATTAGTTATCAAAGAGGGGGGGGGAATATAAAAAATACCCCCTGGCTCTACTTTCAATCCCAAGAAGGAAAATGCACAGTTCTCATTTGGGTGAAGGTCTGCTGGTGGAGGAGGGAGGTCATGTGCACTATAGGAGTCTGGAAATTATCTGGGGCTAGGAGATGAAAGCAGACAAATGTTCAAATTTTGTTAACATAGTTAGAAAATGTATCAAAGTGAGAAACATTTAGAGGTAGAATATGAGGAAAAACTTTGAAATAAAAACTACAAGGGAACAAAGGGCAGGGCTGAGAGTGTTTGGAAGAGGGGGGTTGAAACAAGATGTCAAAAAATAAAAAAAGGCTGGGTTATACTCAGATAAGCAGGAATCTATCCACCACCAGCACCCCAGCACCAAGAGGGTCTTGCCATCTCTTTAAAACCTTCTGAGAGAGGCCGAGGAGCAGAAGTTGTATGCAGGGTAGGGGGTGACATCTGATCAAGGCCCTGAACGGCTGGGAGAGTTCATCTCCAAAAACCGAAACTTTTTGGACGGCATCCTATCTCAGCTTATACAGACATCCAGTCATCAAAAAACCACATAGGTTTCCCAAATGGGCCTAAGACAGTGAAAATTGGACAACTTTTTTTTCCAAATAGTGATTATGAACAATATTTCAAACCACAATGATATACTTGTGTACTCATCTGGTTCGTGCAAACTAATACCTTAATACAATCTCCACTGTGGGCTGGAAGTAAAGAACTTGAATATCATCCCTCCCACTATGAGAAGTCATCTCAGGTTGTCACTAACAGTAGGATTATTGTACTAATTATTTTATTCTTCATACTTCTTATATTTCAAATTTTAACCCATGAGCATGTGCTTTCATAAACTAAGAACAGAGAAAAGTCTATATATTACTTTAAATTCCTAAAAGTGATGGCTATTTTCACAACAAAGCAACTGGTCACAAACGGAACTTAAAAAACATGAATCAATGATTTTAATCAAAGCAGCTCTCCTCAGATTCTTCCTCATCACCAGCAAGGAGAGATAAAGTGTGATGGGGCCATGGATGATTTCTTAGAAATTATGTGTTTAACCAATAATAACTGAGCGCCCAACCACTGTCTGGGAATGTAGCAGTAAAGGTGAAAAAGACCTGAGGTCTCACCTGGGAGTTGACTGGGGGCTGCATCATGGGCCTCATCACCGCAGCCCCGCCAGCAGTGGGGTTTTCCATTTTCATTTCAAGTGCCTGACGGCTCTGATTCAAAAACTGGGGAGAGAAAGGTTGGTTAGGATGCAAATGGAGCATGTCAGAGAGTCCAAAATAGCTTTCCAAATTCTCAGCACCACCCAGTAAAGTCATGATCTCTCCAAACACATTAAACAGGTTAAGTCACATCAAAGCTGAACTGGTATATTTTCACACTTTAAAAAAGTTCATGCAGCAAAGTCCTTGGTTGGCGTACGAAGAAGCTTTACTGTTTGGAAGCAGGAGGAAAAGCACAAGTGCAATTTTGCAGTTCAAAGAATATCTACAACTCAAAACTCAAAAGAATTTATAAAGTCAGACTTTCTCGGACTCATTTAGGCCATTGGGAAAATAGCTTTAACTTGATCAGAATAATAGTGAATAAACAACTTCTCCTATTACCTCGTTTCTAGAAAACTTACATGAAAAGAAATAGTAAAAAGTAAAATGATCAGACACAGCTTTCCCCAGCACCAAAACTGACTTTTGGGAATAGTAATACACTGAGAGTCTCTGGTTTGTTGGAATCTAAACTCTTTCACTTGTCTTGCTTATATGGTTCAGTTTTGCCACCTTTTGTAACTCAGGACACCCCAGACACAAATCATGTAATTAAATTTTAAAAGGTGTGTTGAGGAGTAAGAAACAATGGGAAAAAATAGAAGTCTTACCTCAGAATATTAAAAGAGCTCAAGTTCTATAAAACATCTAGGAAGCAGAGATTCCACTAAAAAATAATGCTTAAATCAGTGTTTTAAATATATGGCTATTAATGTTAAGACTTTTCAAAAAATACAAATTATCTACCTTTAAGACAACATACAAAGCTATCAAAAAACATTTTTCTTTTCCTCTAAGAAAAATCCCCTCAACGATTTTTACTTTTTAATCTATACAAGGGAATGTTCTTACAGAAAGGTACCTAATTATACCATGACGACTCCCTAACAAGGAACCCTCTGAACAAATAAAATGTTGTTTAGAAGTGGAGAAAAAGGAATTCCTTCAGTTCAGAAAGGACAGAGAGCCAGTAGCAAGAGCTCTGAAGAACAGTCTGAAAATGAAGTAGACCAAAGGGAAATCCACTCTGGGCAAAGCAGAGTATGTGACAGTTACCTGTTGGCCCTGCAGCCTCTGCTGAAGCTGCATTCTAAGTTGCTTAGGGGTGTTGGTCCGGGGTCTCATGATGTTGGCCCTAGGGTGCATTCCTTGGAGAGGAAAATTGCCTTGCTGGTTCATCTGATTCATCATAGAGTTGAACGATGGTGCTTGTCCCTGAAGGTTAAAGCCTCCCTGCATTGGAGGCCCCTGAGCTGGGTATGTCTGCCCATATAATGCTGCCTTTTGATCCATCATTACTGCTGCTTCTTGGCCTTGGAAAGCATCCTGTTTGGGCTCCAAAGCTTGCCCCTTAAATATCAAACACATGAACGAATAATGAAATACATCTGGAAATACAAAAGGTGTCTCAAGCTCTAAAGAAGGTAGGGGGGTAAAAATCAATATACGTGAACAATATTGTTGAAACTCTGAAAAGCAAATCATGCTCTGCCTTGTCTTGGCTGTGTTCTAGTGCTGAGGACAAGGAAGGTTGCACACAGATAAACAGTCATTATCTAGAGCGTACTAAGTACCTGGAGAATTATTATTTGTTTCAGTACAGAATTCTGGACCTTGTGGCAATGTGGACAATCCATGTCAAGTATAAAATAAATTAAAATCAGTATAATCAATGAATTCTCATGCAGTTTATACAAGAATATTTTTCAAGGTGACAAGAAATGATTTTTGGCAGAGAGAGCTAAATCAACAAAAACTCATCTGCTACCGTGTATTCGTATCCGTGTGTGTGGGGGGAGACCATTTTTATTAAATGCCTGTTAATGTGCCAAATATCCCTTCTCAACATGCTAAGGATGTGTACAAAATATTGGTCAGGAGGTGACAGAAAAAGAGGCTAAGAATGACTATTCTGAAGATGGGAAGGGCCTGTCCGGTACTGCATTCACCTTTATTTTCTTATTCTGAGCCCAGAGCACCCAGCCAACATGCTGGCCTCGCTCACTGTACTTGATGCCCCACTCCCACTCTGAGCAAGGGTCCCGTCCCTTTACCAGGGTCTCATTATCACCTGCCTTTCCTTGAGGCCTCTATGACATCATGTCTACTTTATCTGTGCGGTTCCCTGCCTGGTGTCTGTCTTACCCAGTGGGATGTAAGCTTTGGAAGAAATAATTTGCTCACTAGTGCTCCTCAGCCTCTAATAAAAGACCAATTAACATACAGAGGACAAATATTTGTCAAATGAAGGAATCAAACAAATAACTAAACATATGCAAAGTACTGCTGGAGATCAACAAAATAAACACCAGGAGAAAATTTTTTTAAAAATCTAAATGACAGGTCTCCCCGGTGGCGCAGCGATTGGGCGCTGGGCTGTGAAGCTGCCCACAGCCTCTGTAGCACCAGTTCAATCCCTGGCCTCCAGCAAGGGTCCCACATGGCACACAGACCTCTCCTGCCATACCTGCTGCTCCCCTCAGCAGTGTACCTCGGTCCTTCTGCCTGTTCTGCTCCCCGCTCTGGCTCTGGTGAATTCTCTCACCCTCCCACACTTCTGACTGTACCCTGTGCTTGTATAAATAAGTAAATCTTTAAAAAAAAAAAAATCTAAATGACCCCCCCAAAAAAAACATGTTTAATCCTGCAAATCAAAAAAATGTAATTTAAAACAAGAATCTCTGTTGCCTATCACACTGCCAAAGATTTACAAGAACCATGGTCGGTATTTGTCGCTTGCTCACTCACGCTGAATGTGTTCTTCCGTCTACCCAGTGAGCCACAGCAGGACTACGCTGGGGAGGGAGGACTCGAAACAACACATTCTGCTGAGGAAAAGCAGTCCTGTGACCTTTCAGGAAAACAACCTGAAAGCTGAACTAAAATATGCTCTTTTAACCCAATCATCCTTTCTCTTGGATTACAGCTAAGAAAACAGACTATGAATAACCTGTAATTCATAGAATTATTTGATCAAGAGTATCTAGGAACAATTTAAATTTTCATCAGTAGAGAACAGATTAAAATAGTGTTCAATGTAACAGTTCTATTTGGCCATTAAAATTAAAGGTATGTGAAACTGGAAAAAGACTGGTAACTTTCCTAAGTAAAACAGGTGTGTTAAAGTCTACTCCTATTTTTTAACAATGTATTCAAAAGTTTGAATGATTCTTTTTGTGCCGGGATTCCAGAAGGTTTTTACCCTTTTTTTCAGACCCATTTTTTGTAATTGTCAGATTTTTATAAAATGACCACTAACAATTTTTATCATTGGACAAGAAAATCTATTTCTACCTTAAATAAAATTTTAAGAACAGTCCAGGATTTTGGGTCACTGTGTAACCCTGACATTCACTCCCAGTCACGTAAGACACCATTCCTCAGTTCCAGGGCCATATGGACTGGTAAACCTGGAAGCTAACATTGTTACCATCTGTGTTTCCCACCCTTCCTTTAAAAGGTTCTGTGACAGTGTAATTGCTGATGTACACATTTGTCTCTCTCCAATACTCTGAACATCTTTCTCCTGTTTATTACCGAATGCACAGACCTACACAGCAAACCCCACCCTCCCACACACACACACACACACACACACACACACTCTTTAACTAAAACAGCTGCTAGAAAACATACCTGTTTCAAAAACACATATTTATGGATGTTATATTTTCATAAGGCTGCATAGGTAATTGGGAATAGGAGATGACATTGTTAGGACGTCACAAGCTTTCTACTATAAATAAGTTTTGTTTAAACTAACATTAAAAAAGCTAGCTTCCTCGGCGTATACACTGTTTGGGCACCAGAGAGGTAATTATAAAAAATAGGGCATCTAATATAAATAAAAAGTAGCATTTTTAAAACTATAGTTTTATATCATTTCTATGTTTGCCTAAAATTTGACATCTTTATAATGTTATAGGTTGTGGGAAGTAATGTCATAATTATAAAGTATATTTTCTAAATTTATTTTTTTTAAAGATTTATTTATTTATACAAGAACAGGGGTACAGGTCAGAGGTGCAGGAGGGTGAGAGAATTCACTAGAGACAGAGCGGGGAGCAGAACAGGCAGACAGACCAAAAGCACTCCTGAGGGGAACAGCAGCGGGCGAGGCAGAAGAGGTCTGCTGCGCCATGTGGGATTCTCCCTGGCTGGCCAGTAATTGAACCCGTGCTGCAAACAGCTTCACAGCGTGGTGCTCAACCCGCTGCACCACCAGGAAAGGCCCATATTTTCTAAATTTAAAGCTGTTATTCATGAATGAAATCATTAATAGGAAAATACACATACAGGCACTTTCACACATGGCCTCAAGGATGTGCAGTTAACACATGTCTACACACCTGTATGTGTGTACACACACACACACACACACACACACACACACTCTCACGCAGTCAAGTTAGACACCATTCCTCAATTCCCCAATTTCCATATTAATGCTACCTACTTGATTTACAAGTTCAGGGATGCCCAGAGCTCTGTCAATTTCTTCCAGGCCTGTGGCATCTGTGTTGCTCAAGAGAGTGTGCAGCTGGTCCAACAATGCTCTTTCATCACTCTGGCCTTCTAGGTTAGAAGGTGGCCCAAGGAGATCATCCAGGGTATTCCTAAGAAGTGGCCTAAAAAGAAACTTGCTATCAACTTCAATGGAGCTTTTTCTCTCCCCAACAAAAGACAACACACTAACACATGCACAATAATTTTGATATACTCAAATACTGTAAGTATAAAAAACAATAAACCAACCAAGCAGAGCTAAATGGCATCAAATTGAACTTTAGGCCCACAATTTTAAACCAGGCCATCATTAACCACCAATCTAGCTTATTCTACCCCTCAATCCTACCACCAAAATGTATTGATAATTCCTAGACCCCTAGGCATTAGGAGGATACCAGAGATTGCAAGGATGGAGACTGGAAGCGAGGAGAGACTATATGCTTTTTAAGACTACCTATAGGAATAAGTAGTAACAGTTATGATACTTGAAAGATGGGAAAATCAACAAAAGAACGGAAGAAAGGATAGAAATACTGGACTATCAATGACCTGAGCCTGGGACCTGCCAAAATTAATTTTTCTTAAACCTGGCCTACAGAACTCATGTATCAAGTATAATACAAACTCCACACCCACAGCAAGGAGCCACAGTTCTCCAACACATCAAATAACATGGGGCTAGACATTATCCTTCCCCAAAAAGATTCTCTGAAATTGAAACTGTGTTCTCGAGTGCTCGGAGAAGCACTCAGGTTAGTAAACTCATGTAGTTAATAAACTCATTTTGCTGCCTACTCAATATATCGATTCACTTTCTTTGCTTAATTTATGATGTAATTCAAGCTAGAATTGATCTCTCTTTCATGAAAATGAGTTGCTGACCAAATCAAGTCTAAATGAAAGACACACATGAACCATAATCTTTCTTTTGCAAAAATAAGAGTACTACTGTTCACTTTCACCATCACCTAAAATATTTTAAACAATTTTAGGAAAGAATTCCCCAGTAGTTAAAAATTAATTTTCCAGAAAACTGAGGCCTAACCCTCAGAACATCATTTATCTTGTTAAACTGGTGCCAATGTATTACTGCATTATGAAATTATTACATTAGAACAGAGAATCATCTCTCATATAAGCTATCAGTCAATGGATCAACAGCTGAACAACACAGTTGTCTCTCCTTCCCCCACCATGAACACCACTGCTTGCTGTTTCAGACTCATTTTGACACACAGCTGAGAAATACTCGGAAAGTAATCGAATATACTTAAGAGTTTCTCTCATTCTCTTTTGGGTTTGTATCTATGCTCTGACTCTTATCTAGATAATCCAAAATTAACATTTTCTACATAAGCAACAATAAAGTCCCACCTGTTTTGAGTTCCATGAGGGCCTTGTTCCATGGATAACATGCCATCTGGCCAGGAACCAGTTTGGTTAGATGGTGCCGCTTGGCCATAAGGACTAACCCCCATTCCCATGGGAATCTCACCAGGTCCTGAGGAGAAAGACAAAAGGATAAATTTTCAAATAAGCCAATAGCAAAAATTACCCTCAGACATCTGATTTTCTTCCATGATGGGGATGCGTACGCATTTGTAGCATCTGCTGATGTTGCTGCTGCTGATGATGATGTTGCTGCTGCTGCTGCTGTTGCTGCTGCTGCTGCTGCAACATTGGCCTCACTCCCGGAATGCTACTGGACCGAAGAGGCATAGGAGGCATTGAGCCACCCATGGCTGCTCTGGGTAAAGCCGCATTATAATCTGCTCCTGGCCTTCCCATGGGATTTGAACTCATAGGATCCAGTCTGCCAGCCTTTGAGTTTGGTAAGCCCCAGTCTCCTGAGGAAGGGTTCTGATTCACAGTCACATTTCTGCTTGGTCCACCTAAACAGGTAGAAATGATTAAGTCTTTCCCATAATATGATGAAATCTCTCTTGAACAGTTACTGTACACAATATCAGTCCTGACCAAAAAAAGCATATTGCTATCTTAACAATAGAGCTGACCAACTATGAAGACACTTTTGATTGGCCACTAATGCCAAATATCCTAACAGATTAGAAAATGTCTTAGACCAAAAGTTTCCTGAAAAGCTTAAATAATAAGGACACAGAATAAATGAAGAGTACCCATGAAAGAAACATTATGTTGCTCAAAAACCTATTACTGGTCCTCCCCGATGGCGCAGCGGGTTGAGCACAGCTCCATGAAGCTGTCCGCAGCCTCTGCAGCACGTGTTCGATTCCCGGCCGGCCAGGGAGATTCCCACATGGTGCAGCAGACCTCTCCTTTCTCGCCTGCTGCTCCCCTCAACAGTGCTTTTGGTCTGTCTGCCTGTTCTGCTCCCTGCTCTGTCTCTGGTGAATCTTCTCACCCTCCCATGCCTCTGACCTGTACCCCAGTTCTTGTATAAAAATAAATAAATCTTTTTAAAAAAAAAGCCCTATTACACCCAACTGTTTAAATGACTATTTTACATTTGTTTTACCCAAAAAAAGTTTTAATCATACATATGAGAAAACATACCCATATTTGAGCCATAATTTTCCTGACTATCCATCATTCTTTGATTCCCACCCAACACAGGTTGCTTTGGTAACATGGGGAAAGCACTGATATTCTTTACTGGAGGACTTGAGCCAACAGAAACAGGGCTATCTAGAGACGCCGCCCGGTTATATGGAGGACGAATGGGCTGCACAGACTGTGGGCTCCTCAGACCTGCTGAAACAGACACATGATACAAGAATATCAACACAAAAATAATCAAGCACAAGTCATAAAAACCAGTATCACCTTCCCAAGTTGTCTTTCTCATTGAAACAAACACTGTCTTTCCTATACAAAACAAACTCTAAGTATGCATGTGTGCGTGTGCACACACACGAAAGGCCGCAAATTCCAAATAAAGTAGGAATAAAAGTGGCACTGTTAGCTGAAGTATCAGGCACCGTTCTTGAGCCCGATATGGCAGTGAAGTGACTACTGCTTCACTTTCTACTGAATGGTTTACCAACATTTCAAACTCCTACGTTCTTCCATATGTATATGTAAGTGGCTTCTCGGTTTAAAATTGTACCAAATGAGATGCCATCTAATAAACACAGAATGAAAGGTAAAATTTCCTCATAATTTGTTTGATTTTTTCCAATCTGTTAGATCTGAGTATCCATTTCAACACAGAAAATTTTCAATATCACTGGATGATTAACCACCATCCTGGAAAATTGTGAATTATGTTTTTATTGATGCATATATCCTTACTGAATTGATGACAGGGAAACACAGAGCTACAGGAGAAAAACTGGGTAACACCAGCATCACCAAGGAAGAAAAGTCTTATAGCAAAGGATGAGATTAAGTGTCACAGGACAAATTTGGATCTATAGCTTTGGTTGCTTTTTAATACAATTCTCTGTGTCTAAGAAGAACATAAGCACTAGTCCTACAAGTAATCTGAAACAACCAAAAACCAAAATTTTCCTGTGTCATGATTACTGATAATACTCATTAGAATGGGGAATTTTAAAGAGAAAGCTTTTTTAAACATACACTACATATGAGTAAGAAATTGAGAGGCAGAGTGTATGTTTTAAAGATATAAATGCTAGTTTGATCCTGATTTTAGTTTAAGAGTACATACAAGTATGCAGAAAAACTTAAAAGGCCTTAAAAATAAAACCTAGTTGTTTCTTACCCAGAGAACTAGTTCCATGAAACATTTGTTGCTTGGTTCCCATATTACTACCATTTGTGGATATGGAATTATTGTAAAAGTCAGTACTAGTCAGATCACCAAGAATAGCATCCAGATTATCCAAGTCTCCAGGTCCCTGAAAATAAAGTTTTAAAAATTAATCTGTGCATCAGATACAGAGGTATAAACAAAGTCATGAGAAGAAACTATATGACTCGGGAACAAATAAACCACAACGGTCACCTGTAATGGTAATGCCCAATTTAAAGCTGACTTCATATGACTCCCCCACTCCCACCTGCCCCGCCCCTAATATTCATCCCCAAGGGTAAGAACAGTTTAAACTACTACCGTAAGCCATTCAGTTTGGAGAAAATTTCAAAAGGGCACTTTTTTTAATTTGCATTTGTACATTTGATTCTCAAACATAGGATGCTTTCCAGCTAACATTCAGGACCATTAGCTGACAGATGCCTGAATCTACAAATAACTTCTGAAAACAAGTATGATTAATAATAAAAACAATGGGTATGATTAATGATAAAAGCAACTCTCCAAGAAGACAGTCATAGGTACACTTTAAGAAGAGGTTTTGTTCAATACATTTGGAGAACACTAGTTTAAAAAAGAGACATTCTAAGCAGAAGGCTTATCCAAGACTTTAATTTGCTCAGGCACATTTACCAGCTCCCAAGAGGTCAAGAAGAGTTTGCGAAATGTCCATGTAGAATGCAAACATGTACACGAAATTTGGTTTTTAGTAAAAATTCTGTTTAATGCAAAAGGCTTTTTTCCCCATTTCTTTCTACCATATCCTTAATAGTCCAAGCTGCTCATTCCACAGCAGCTTCAAAATGAAAATTTTCAGGTTGGCTACTTAGTAGTTGCAGTCACATTTAAAAACATACAGAACTGCTATTTCTAAATTGCATCATAATACCACTTTACTGGTGCCCAAAAGAATTACAAATAGCTGGGTTAATTTCCATTAAGTAAACCTAAAATAAAAAATAAGAACTTGTACAGCACATTGTTTTCTAACACAGAAATGTAATGATGAAACACAAAGACTAAGCTGGGATACACAGAAAAATTACCTCTTCATTTGCTTCTGTCTTAATTTTAGAGTCTTTCTCTTGACTGGAGCTGGGAATGGCAGAGCTGCTACACTGACTCATCTTACTATCCAGTCCCTCCACTTTGGGCTGGAGTTCTTTAGAGAGGGCATCACTGGGATCATCCCTGTCCAGCAGGTATCTAAGCAGTGCATTGTTCTCCTTCTTCTTAGGACTCAGTTGCTCCTGCTTGACATTCCCATCCCCACAAGACGTTGTACTACTGGTGTCTTTCCCAGTGGCCTCTGCAGTGATTTTTGCTACTTCGGCTGGAGAATTCCCATTCTGCAGCAACTTGTGCAAAATCCGGTGCTTCTCTTGCAGCAATGACCCATGCATATTGGGTGTGGAAGACACTCCTCCAGAGGTTGAAGAGGAGACCCCCGAGGGGCTAGTGACACTGATAGAAGCATCTTTACAAGTTGAATCCAAGGGGGAGTCAGTCAAGGAGGAATGACCTCGGTCATCAGAAGAACAAGTAAGTAGCTGCAGTAATTTTTTATGACCTTTGCTTTCCAGAGGACCCCGCTGAATCTCTGATCCTTCAACATTGCCCTCCTTACTTTCTTTGTCATTGAGGTGATCCCTACTATTTGACTGACACATTGAACTCTCCACTGGATTCTGGTCACAGAACAAGCCTAGGGGACTCTTGGAATCCTGACTACTGACTTTACTTGGTTGGGTCATATTCATGTTGGGAGAGTTGTCCAATTTGGGACCTGGTGAAGAGAGCGTAGACAAAAGAGAAGTCCCCACCCCCTCACTAATAGCTTGAAGAGCACTGAGAGAGCTGCTAGAAAAGCTGTGACTTCCAGTGTTGCCAGAAGACCCCATGGGAGAGTGCACACCTGGATTTGGAGAAAAATTAGAAAATCAATTAGACTAACAGATGTTACAAGAAAAGACCAATTAACTCTTCAAACTTTTACTATAAAATGAATTCATTTTTCAAGAACTGCAGTAGTATGAAAAGAATTACTGAGAAAGGAAAAGGAAATGTCAACACAAATACCTGCAACAGGAGAGAACTGATGTGAGGCCATCTTTGGACTCCCACGATTACGAGGAGAAATCATGATATTCTGCTGGGTCGAGCCGAGACCAGGACTCCCATGGGGGGAGCTACTCCTGTTGAGACCATAACTATTGTTCTGGTAGGAAGACGGAGACTGCATGCCTGGCCCAGGGTTCACTGCAGGCATGTTGCCAGCAGCCCCATACCTGGCCCCACTCATCTGCCCTGTGGTGCCGGAGTCAGTCAGGCCATAGGTTCTGCTGTTCAGCATCTGTAATCCTTGGTTTGGCGACATGCTCACACCACCTACAGAACTGTTGCACCCAGGTGCCGGAGGTCTTACGCCTTGTCCAACAGGATTTGGGTTTGGTCTGTACCCATTCTGTTCCCTACAAAAATAAAGGGGGAGGGGGATGATGTTGAAGCTACTAGAAAATTTCAGGCACATGAGTTAAAACTTTGAATTAGATTTTTTTTTTAAAGGTGAAGTGTCTAGAAACTTAATGTCTAAGCACCATTCTAATACCTAATGACAATTTCAATGTAGATACTAATTGCCAACCCAGTAACATTCCTTAATTAAAGTTGCAGAATCTAAACAAGTGACACTACCACAGCACAGTGAAGGAACCCCACCTCCCTCCCCCCGGGGTTTTACTAGAGCATCTGGGGTTAAGCTGGAAGTGCCTGAAAAATCACTCAAGGTAACTAATGGATAAATATTCCCCTCTGTCATACGCTGCTCACATTCCATGTAGCAACAGCAGCAATCCTTTATCCTTAAAGTGTATCTTCAAAAACTGTTCCTTCAATCCCTAAAAGCAATGTAATCTATTACTAGAAATGAAAGATAACAAAGGTAATTGGATTTTATGTACCTTTTATCCACTGGATTTCCCATTCCCCTACTTGCCTAGGAAGCAATTACTTAATGATTATTCATTTTCCCATAAAAACATAACTTAAAGGGCTCCCAGGTGGCGCAGCGGTTGAGCACTGGGTTGCGAAGCTGCCCACAGCTTCTGCAGCGCCGGTTCGATCCCCAGCCACCGGGTGAGGGTCCCACATGGCCGCAGACCTCTCCTGCCGCCCGCTGCTCCCCTCAGCAGTGTACACTTCGGTCCTTCTGCCTGCTCTGCTCCCTGCTCTGGCTCTGGTGAATTCTCTCACCCTCCCGCGCTTCTGACTGTACCCAGTGCTTATATAAATAAATAAATAAATCTTTCAAAAATAAATAAATAAATAACTTGAAGAAAACCTATAATCCAAGAATCTAAACTCACTTCAGCAAATCCAACAACCTTCCTCCTTTTACTCTCATTAAATTTTCCCCCTTTCACATTAACACTAAGGTATCTTGAAAAGACTTCTATGTTTAGTAGAAAAATATATAGTAATCAGTCATTACCGCTGAAGAAAATGGGTTGAGACAAAGCCGTGACGATCATTTGTTCCATGATTTAGAAAGAGTTTGCTTTTTGTTTGTGCAGTCACAATAGTTCCATCAGCCAGAGAGAACCGATATACTGGGGTTTCTGCATGACCATGGATATAGGCTGTTGGGGGAAAATATCCCATTACTATTAACTACAACTGACAAAATAGGTAATATAGGATAAGAGAAAGACAAAATACACTTCAAGTGAAATGCTTTCAAAGAAAAGTGAAAGACTAGACCTGCACCAAATTATGAACAGGTTGAAATGAGAATGTTTGGTAAGAATCAATTTCCTAGATAAGCACAGAAAGTAACAACTCCAAGCAAAGTATGTACCCAGGGCTTTACAGGAAGCCAAACACAGTGGCAGACAAGACCAAGAATCAACCCCAAAGTGCTTTACCTTCTTGATAGTGTCGTTTTTGGGACCATGACTGCCCATCATTAAGACTGAAAAATCTCTGGATACACCTTCGAATTATATCTTCAAAGCCAGGCCTCATCGAGGATCTCAATGAATTTGTATCTATGGTGACAACTTTTCCTATAAAAGAAGAGAAAAAACAACCCACAAATATTTACTGGTTGAACACTGCATGACATAACAATGAAGGATAACGACACTAAGTCTTTGCTCCACCTCCTCTGTTAGAACAAGTTTCTGCTATATCTAGACTTTTCTTTTTAAGGACTTAGCTCTGCAGGATGCTTTTACATCCAAACAGTCTGCTGCACAGACTTTAACAGTGTATCACTTGACTCCTACTTTTCCATTGTACAACCTGTCCAAATGATCTCAGGTTCATTTTCACTTGAAGAAAAATAACATCTATTATGAGAACTATCTGAGAGTTGTCTGTCCCTGCCACTATAAAGCAAGACACACACAGTCTTTTACCTGAAAGGTCATGTCTGGTAATAAAGCTCTCAGGGTTGGATGGAAAGGCTCTTTCTCCTGTAGTGATGCGGCGTGCCACACAGATCATACAGGATTGCAAGTCTACAACAAAATATTTAACCAAGAAAGGACTGTGTTTAACTTTTGGTGATAGCCGTTCGACAGCAGAGTAAGGACATGGAATTCAGTGGGAAGGATTACAAGAAATAGAAATTATAAGTTTGGCTGTTGTTTGATAAACATCACAAATGTGATCACCATTACCTTCCCCCTCCTCCATCATAGCGCGTGGCTGGGACAGGGCAAAGCACTGCATTGTTTCGTAGCGCTGGCGCATTTCAGGACTAGTGTTCATGTCTTCCAGAATATCATGTGGTGTTTTCATCAGCATGCGGCAATTAAATGTATGACTTTTTTGTCTCTGGGTCTCATTTGTCCAGGCAACTCCATTAACTTTGAAAAACAAATTGAAAGGAGTTTTGAAAAGGCTGGCAATTCCAGCAATGAGTATCATCAAGAATCCAAGCTTTATGTTCCTATTACACGTTCTTGACAGTAAAATTTCCACTATTAGATATTAGTATACTGTAGAAAGGCAACATATAAAATGTGAAAATAATTTTAATTTCAGCAGAAATCTCACTGTATATTTTGTAACTCACTTTATATTTTGGTTCCATGAAATGTACACCAAATCCTAAATTCACCAGTTATATTTGAAAATTTTGCTATTAACTACTAGCCTTTGTATACAAATTTGATCACATGGCTATCTAAAGGGTACATTTAAGTTTCTAAGAAGTGAGGTGATCAGAATTTAAGAGAAAAACTAAGTAGTCTAGGAATTTTTTTTGACTTATTTAGAAAATATACAATACATTAAAGGCCTACCTGTAGATTTCGGTAAGTTTTTAAGAAAATCCTTTCTGTCGTCTTCATGCAAGATATTGTAGACACTTGTGTTAACCAAGTCCTCCTGCTTATATTGCAGGTATTGTGTGACATTTTCTGACACAAATACAATGTTTCCATCGCGGTTCACCACAAACAGGAAACCATCCAGCGCCTAAATGGGATATGTTGGTATTGGTTGTTATGACTGAATTGTATCCCCTAATGTGACTATACCTGCAGATGGGGTCTTTGTGGCATTAACTAAGATTACATTACATGAGGTCATAGGATAGGGCTCTAATGCAAAAATGACCAGTGTCCTTATAAAAAGAGAGAGCTCTTTTCCTGCAGTTGCCAGTTGCACAGATACTGGGGTGCATTCAAGATTCTGCTCCCCTTTAACCCACTGCCAAGGCTAAGGAGGACATTGCTGTTGGGAGTGTTTAAGGGACTGTAATATTGCTTTACAATAAGTGCCAAAGAGCATCCTCATTCAGAATGGCCTAACTAGTGGAATTCAATAAGCTTCCAAAGCCTCAGATAAGCATCAAGCCCTTTTTTTGTGCTTGGCTCTAACTGTGATGAGCTTATGTATGTCATGCTGGTGGAGGCCCTTTGTGTTGAACACCAAAACAACCTAATTAAAGTTGATGACAACAGAAAATAAGAAGGATAGGTAGGCCTCTGTAAAACAGAGAGAGGGACCCCGGTAAAGCAGTTGGATGCAGTTGTGTGGCAGTTAAGAACTACTCAAAGAATCTCAGGCCAAGGATGTCACTGAGGAATACTTTGATGCAAGACCTGACCATGTAAGAAAATCTGGTTATTGTTAAAATAAATAAAAACAGACATCAGGGAGATAGACACACACCAAATCATGTTAAGATATAATAAGAAGGCGACCAACTGAAGTCAGAAATAAAGAAACCAATCCTGCTGACCTTGATACCTTGGTATTGGACTTTCACATCTTTACTGCTTCCCAATTTTCCATTTGATGCTAAGACAAGTTATAGGAACTATGCTATTCCCTGATAAGAATTTACAAAGTGAACTGATCTAAAAGTAATTAAAACAATACAGTTGAAACAATAAGCTGACAATTGAACTTTATGAAGGGCTTCAGACTTGCCTTAATGGAAGAGAAATATGCTATGAGTGCTGTCAGTTAATCAGACCTATTTCAGACAACTACTTATAAAACAATGCACATTTTTAAGTCTTAAAAATTTCTCATAAAAGTATAGTGCACCATGTGATCAATCATGCAAAATATGCATTAAAGATACTGAGTTAAAATTATGCCCCAATATTACCTGTATTGGTTACTTTTGTTAGATACTGAGTTACCGATCTTATTTTGTTTCTTTATGTTTTATTGTGTATGCATGCTTTCTCAGTTAGCAACTATATTTTCTAAGGACAGGGACGCTCCTCCATTATGTATGTTGTAAATCTAAGAACATTTTACCATCACATTCAGAATAGTGAGTTCTGTCTCAAAAAAAAAGTTCTGTTTCATTTTTGCTCCCAATTCTCTACCAAAATTTCATTTTTTTAAATCAACACAACTGTTTAACTACATAGTTTAAACCTTTTACTTGCCTGAAGTAAAAGTGGTCCTAAGGAGTCTTTATCAATAACTCCTTGTCCTGTAGAAGACACATCTGCTTTCTGAACATCATCGTCCGCTGAAATAGTTTTTCCTGGAAAGACAAAAGGCAGCATGACAAATAGCACATTTACTAGTTATAGATTAAATCCAGAGATTACTTACACACACACACACACACACACACACACACACACGCACGCCATTTACTGGTAAGAAAATGTTGCTACAATTCTGAAGTGCTGAGTTAAACATCAAAATTAGCTGAAAGGGCAGAGGGGTGAGCAACACTTCCAATTCTGTAAGCTATTTCCTAAAAAGTGAAGCTGGTCAGCTCATCTGTCCATTCCCCACATAGGCTATGCTCAATTAGCATTGGGCCCCACCCAAAAAAGGAAAACACAAACAGTTAACAAGTTCCTTCGGATAGGCTTACTTTGTCATTACCTTGCTCTTTTATTTGACGTATCTGTCTTACTGTTTCCTTTAAAATTGCACATTTATCTGGTTTGACATTGAAATTGTCAATATCACTAAAATTAGCAGATATCAGTTCAGCCAATTCTTCAATATATTTACTCTCCTGCTCTCGTCTCCACTTTTCGCCACTGCAGGTGAGACTAGGAAGAGAAGACGAAAAGCCGTGAGTAAATACTACTAGTCCCAAAAGAGCTGCATCACTACATGCGGTACTACCTTTATATGTAAACAAACTAAAGTCAGTCAATAAAAAACTATGAAAACACTGTCTTGGAGAAGTAGTACAATACAGTAGAAACGCATGCAAACCTAAATTCAATTTTTATTAGCAGGTGGTCTTGGACAGAGTTACTCTCAATTTTTTCATCTGGAAAATGGGGATAAAATAGTTTTTACTGCATGGAGACAGTTAAACAACTAAAAAAATTAGTAGTAACTACTAATAATGAGGTTTTATGAATTGTAGATGTGTTCCTATTTTGTACTATCGCATTAAAATTCAAATAGTAACTGCTCTTAGCAAATACTAAAAAGGCCACAGATGCAGTATTTTCTTTCTGTTTTTTAAATCTCTAACTTTATTTAGGGAAAGAATGATGAAATCTCACACATGTTAATTTATTACCTTGTAACATGTGCTTAATAGAAGTCAAAGTTCTCACTTGTAAGAGCCTTGGTTACCTTCCTAGTGCCTACTTCATCTGTTGAGAAATGCTTCTTTCAGAATCACAGACTTAGTATAATATTCTCGCTTCTATCTGAACCAGCAATAACGCTTCTCTTACAGCATACGGATGTCCATATCATCACTGTGCCACTCTACTTCCTACTAAGCAAAATCACATTTAAGCAAAGCCAAAAACAAAATAGCCAGAGAACATAAACAAGATGCTGAAATGTTACTTTTAAAACCAAGAAACAAAGGCAAAGGGAAGAGACCTTGTAAAGCATCAGGAAATAAATCACCCACCCTTGTCCTGGAGTATCACAGGGCAATTTGCGTTTTCGTGAATCAGGGGCCAGTGGATCCAAGGAGTTTTCTCCTAACCCACTCATCTTGAATATACATGAGCAACTGAAAAAGAATAACAAGATAAAAGCATAAGGTAGCCAAGACTCCATAAAGGTTTAAGTTTGAAAGACTGCATCTAACTCAGAACTACTTTCCCTAAAAGGTTAGGTAATTCTCAATTCTTTATCATAAATAAGTATTCTGCAGACAACTCAGAGTTCATATTCATTTAGTTATGTGACTGCGCAACCTCAAGACAGAAATGTTTCTCGAGTTATACAAGTGTGCATACCGGAATGCACACAGAACAAGGCATCTTCTTCATATTTAATACAAAAAAGAGAGACCTCCAATTCTCCCATTGATAAAATGCTAAATTTTATTTATACCCAAGTAAGCATAAATAAGAGCTTATCTTATAATTTGGGAAAGAGTCTTCAAATGATAAGTCTAAATTATTCAGACTATTTTTTTCCAAGGTGACACTTTTTTCCTTTAGACTCTTTCATTAATATTTATCATCCAATGTGTTTTTTCTTTTGTTAGTTCAAAATAAATCTTGATGTGCAAATAAAATTGCAAACCCCACTGCATTTCACACTGAAAGTAGATGTACAACAATAAAACTCTAGTGGGGGAGGAGGAGCTTGACAAGATCTACACATCAACAATCATTTTAATATTAACTGAATATAAAACACGTTTTGGACAAAAGTATCACTGACAAAGAAAATAAATGGAGAGTACTTGTTGAAAAAAAAAGAAGAGTAGGTTTTAATCAGTAGCTTGTGATTTTAAGATATCTTTTAAACCTTCATTTAATTAAGAATTTTATTTTTTCTAAACTCTTATTTAGGACAAGACAATCAATGAGCTAAAGAATTCCAAGTCAACCAAGAAATTAAAACATTCCAAAGTATTTTCCTTTACCATGTTATTGATAAAACGCAGCTTGCATTCTATTATATTCTATGAGACATACATATTGAAGGAATAAATTTCCACTAGGTGGCATAACACTGCCAGGAAGGGAGACAGAATTCATACAAAATACTGATCAAGCTGAAAATATGTAGTTTTTTTAAAATTTAGAATCACATGATAAAATAACACCATCCAGCAAAACACCAAAGGCATTCTTCACAGTAGTCGAAGAAACAATTCTAAAATTTATGTGAAACCACAAAGGACCCCAATAGCCAAAGATACTGAGAAAAAAGAACAAAGTTGGAAGGATCACACTTCCTGATTTCAAACTACACTACAAAAGCACAGTAATAATCAGGTCTAGATTATGGCATCTAACTTATGAAACCAGGATGTTTAGGTGTGAATTATATACCAACAAAATTCATTCCATTGTAATTCTGAGAATGAAATGAAAAGGCTGAAAAGCTAAGATGTTGTGAAGACTTGGTAGGTTTTTTTTTTTTTTTAATTTCAAGACATAAGTTAAAATAAAATGATTTTAAATAACTTCAATCAAAAGTGCTGCATCAAAAACCTCCCCAAAAACAAAAGCCCAGGACCTGATGGATTTACGAACGAATTCTACCAAACATTCAGAGATGAATTGGTGCCTATCCTTCACAAACTCTTCCAAAAAATTGAGAAGGAAGAGACAATACCAAACACGTTCTATGAAGCCAACATTACACTAATACCAAAACCGAATAAGGACAACACAAAAAAGGAAAACTACAGGCCAATCTCCCTAATGAACACTGATGCAAAAATCCTCAACAAAATTTTAGCTATCAGAATCCAACAATGTATCCATAAGATAATTCACCACGACCAAGTAGGATTCATTCCAGGGACACAAGGATGGTTTAACATCCGAAAATCAATCAACGTTATCCAACTCATCAACAAAAAGAAATATAAAAACCATATGATAATATCAATAGATGCTGAGAAAGCTTTCGACAAAGTCCAACACCCATTCATGATAAAAGCCCTTGAAATTCTTGGGATACAAGGAACATACCTCAACATCATAAAGGCCATCTATGAGAAGCCAACAGCCAGTATCATTCTCAATGGTGAAAAGCTGAAAGCAATTCCATTAAGATCTGGAACAAGACAAGGATGCCCACTCTCACCACTGCTTTTCAATATAATACTGGAAGTCCTAGCCAGAGCAATAAGACAAGAGAAAGACATCCAAGGAATCCAAATAGGAAAAGAAGAAGTCAAACTATCACTATTTGCAGATGATATGATAATATACATAGAGAACACCAAAAACTCCACAGAAAAACTAATTCAACTCATCAATCAGTTCAGTAAAGTGGCAGGATACAAAATCAACACGCAAAAGTCAGTAGCCTTCCTATACACAAACAATAAATCTGAAGAAGAAGAAATCAAAAAAAACCATCCCTTTTATTATCGAAACAAAAAAAATCAAATATTTGGGAATAAATCTAACAAAAGAGGTAAAGGACCTATACAAAGAAAACTATAAAACACTGTTAAAAGAAATAGAAGAAGACACAAAGAAATGGAAAGACATCCCCTGCTCATGGATTGGAAGAATAAACATTATTAAAATGGCCATCCTACCAAAAGCAATATACAGATTCAATGCTATTCCAATCAAAATTTCAATGTCATTCTTCAAAGAAATAGAACAATTATTGATGAAATTCAAATGGAATCACAAAAAACCCCGAATTGCCAAAGCTCTCCTGAAAAAGAAAGAAGGGAATGGAGGCATCACACTCCCAGACTTCAAACTCTACTACAAAGCCATAATCATCAAAACTGCATGGTATTGGAACAAGAACAGACATACAGACCAATGGAATCGAATAGAAAATCCAGAAATAAACCCACAAATTTATGGTCAACTAATCTTTGACAAAGGAGCAAAGACTATGCATTGGAGCAAAGAAAGTTTGTTCAATAAATGGTGCTGGGAAAATTGGGTCGCTACATGCAAAAGAATGAAGCTTGACCACTACTTCACACCATACACAAAAATCAACTCAAAATGGATTAAAGAACTAGACATAAGACCTGAAACCATAAAATATATAGAAGGAAATATAGGCAAAACACTACATGATATGCACATCAAAGACATCTTTACAGATACATCACCCAAAGCAGTGATAGTGAAGGCAAAGATAAACAGCTGGGACTACATCAAATTAAAGAGCTTCTGCACAGCAAAAGAGACAATAACAAAAACAAAGAGAAACCCCACCGACTGGGAGAACATTTTTGCACACAACACTAATGATAAAGGACTGATCACAAAAATCTGCGAAGAGCTGATGAGACTCAACAACAACAAAGAAAATAACCCAGTCAAAAAATGGGCAGAAGAGGGCCTCCCCGGTGGCGCAGCGGTTGAGCGCTGGGTTGCGATGCTGCCCACAGCCTCTGCAGTGCCGGTTCGATCCCCGGCTGCTCCCCGGCCACCGGAGGAGGGTCCCACATGGCGCGCTAGACCTCTCCTGCCGCCCGCTGCTCCCCTCAGCAGTGTACTTCTGTCCTTCTGCCTGTTCTGCATCCTGCTCTGACTCTGGTGAATTCTCTCACCCTCCCGTGCTTCTGACTATACCCAGTGCTTGTATAAATAAATAAATCTTAAAAAAAAAAAAAAAAATTTTATAAAAAAAAAAAAAAAAATGGGCAGAAGAGCTAAAAAGAAACTTCTCTGAAGAGGAAATGCAAATGGCCAACAGGCATATGAAAAAATGTTCAACATCACTTGTAATCAGGGAAATGCAAATCAAAACTACCATGAGATACCATCTTACACCAGTGAGAATGGCACATATTAAAAAAACTAGCAACAACAAATGTTGGCGAGGTTGTGGAGAAAAAGGAACTCTCCTGCACTGTTGGTGGGAGTGCAAACTGGTCCAACCACTATGGAGAGCTGTGTGGAGATTCCTTGACCTACTAAACATAGAGCTTCCATAGGATCCAGCAATTTCACTCCTAGGTATTTACCCAAAGGACACAGAAACATCAATTCCAAAGAGCACCTGCACCCCTATGTTTATAGCAGCACTGTTTACAATAGCTAAGCTTTGGAAACAGCCCAAATGCCCAAAAATAGATGACTGGATCAAGAAGATGTGGTACATATATACCATGGAATATTACTCAGCATTCAAAAAAGATAAACACATGCAATTTGCAGCAACATGGATGGCACTGGAAGGGATCATGCTCAGTGAAATAAGCCAAAAAGAAAAATACCGGATGGTTTCACTCATAGCAGGAATCTAGAAAACTTAAATAAGGGACCAGGAAAATGAATAACTATAAGAAAGTGAAAATCAAAATCAACAAAAAACTATGAACCAGAGACACTTTTTGGGGGGTGGGGGGCGGGAAGGGAGGGATTGGGGTCAGAATGGGGGGGGTTGCAATTGTATGGGGAATATAAAAATAAAATTTATTATAAAAAAAAAGTGCTGCAATATGATTTTAAAGCATACTCAGATTTCATAAAATTCTGGAACACCGACTATATTCCTCAAAAATGACAGTATCATATTATATCATAAAAGAAAAATGTGTAAATACCCTGGAATAAAGAAAGTTTAAGAGAGATGAAAATTAAATGCAATATTTGATCTATACTGTTCTAAAGGATGGAAATGCTATAAAGGACATTATTGAATCAACTGACAAAATTAGAATATGGATGAATATAAACAGATATATAGATGTTAAATTTACTCAAGGTTATTTCTGAATTGTGGTTATTTAAAAGACTATCCCTGGGCCTCCCTGGTGGTGCAAGGGGTTAAGAGGTAGCACTATGAAGCTATCCACAGCCACTGCAGCACCAGTTCGATCCCTGGCCAGGGAGGTAACCCACAAGATGCAGTAGATCTCTCCTGTCTCGCCCACTGCTCCCCTCAGCAGTGTATTTCAATCAATCTGCCTGTTCTGTTCCCCACTCTGTCTCTGGTGAATCCTCTCACCTCCCACACCTCTGGACTGTATCCCAGTTCTTGCATGAATATCTTTTTTTAATAGACTATCCCTTATTCTTAGTATTTAGAGCAAAAGGGCGCTTATGTTTGTAAATA